ATATACATGATACACACTGTATCCTAAGACTACTTGTGCTTCAGCCATTCTTCCTCTTGTTTCTTTTCTATCTTCTCTATTGTCCTTTCAATTATTGCTTTCTGAAACAGAGATTTGCAAATTCAAAGGAAACGGAATTATCCAGATCACAGCCAAATTGGGCCAAATGTACTGTCCCACAGGCCTTTCTGCCATTGCTTAAATATTTCTAGATCATTTAACATGATTGATATCACGAGTGTCAGACACTCAGACACAAGGCCAGACACTCCGTACAGCACCACTTGCCTTGTATCACTGTTTCTAAAGTAAAAGCGCAAATCATGCACAAAAACATGAAATTTACCTTTTCTAGGGTGATTATTCTATCGATCCCAATACATGATACCTCCCAATTCTTTATTGCTATTAAATTATATCGACCACTTGTGGTCGACTCACCACTTTGAAACATCTTAGGCACAAATGGCCGACATCAGACCGGCACAGGAGAGGCACTCTGATTGGTCAATATCTTCCGATGATTGTTGTGAAACATTCGACCAGGGAGACTACAAAGACAAATCTGTATAGACTCCCTATTTAGACTGTGAAGGAACATAGACAATACCAGTAGAATGACATCCTGTCCTGACATTATGAACCTTTGAGTGGATGGACTATGTTGTCAACAGTGGATTATATACATGAATGTCATTACTACCAGATTACACTGACGGTAATGGAGCTGCTTTCCAACATGCTCCCATTCTGTGACGTTCTGATGTCGGCTATTTGTGCCCAGATGGTTTCAAGGTGGCCAGTTGACTTCTTTCGATTGAAATAATTTAAGAACAATAAAGAAATGGGTGGTATCATGTATTGGGATCGATAGAATAATCACCCTAGACAAGGTAGATATCAAGCTTGTGGGCATGATTTTAGATTTGCATTAGAAAAGTGATACAAGGCGAGTGGTTTTGTGACAATGTCTTGGCTAGCTGCAACAGTTCAGAGAGGACATGTCTTGGCTGGCTGCAACAGTTCAGAGAGGACATGTCTAGGCTGGCTACAACAGTTCAGAGAGGACATGTCTAGGCTGGCTGCAACAGTTCAGAGAGGACATGTCTAGGCTGGCTGCAACAGTTCAGAGAGGACATGTCTAGGCTGGCTACAACAGTTCAGAGAGGACATGTCTAGGCTGGCTGCAACAGTTCAGAGAGGACATGTCTAGGCTGGCTGCAACAGTTCAGAGAGGACATGTCTGGGCTGGCTGCAACAGTTCAGAGAGGACATGTCTTGGCTAGCTGCAACAGTTCAGAGAGGACATGTCTAGGCTGGCTGCAACAGTTTAGAGAGGACATGTCTAGGCTGGCTGCAACAGTTCAGAGAGGACATGTCTAGGCTAGCTGTAGGCATCACACAATACATCCTTCAGCTACAAATAAGACATTTAGATGTGGCACACTGCATAATGACATGACAATGTTTAAGTACACAGATAGGGCACAATTTATCGGCATTGCTATGAAGAAAATTACAGTGAGGACAAGAGTATCAAACTATCATGCTTACAGCATTCTTGTCTTGAGGTGGGAAGAGCTGATTCTGAAATGATAATTTTCCGTTTAATATTATTATTTAGGATTGACACTCTACAACAACAAACACATGAACTGAATTGTCATAACACCTAGAAACCATTCTCTTCAATAAACATAACAAATATGAGTACTAGATGCATTTGTATCAAATACTTCGATCATGGAGTAAGCTTAGTTTTGTCATAGTGTTTGGTGCCTAACATCCCAAATTACGAGCCATCCTTTCTTTTGTTTCAATCAGAAAATGGGTTTGTGCATGTTCATGTAAATGTGAGTTTACACAAAACCACATACTACTCATACATGTACATGAATGAGGTCAATCAGTTGATTTCTGTTGAACTGTCTTGACCTCATAGGGTATGTTTACTTCTTACTCAACAGTGTGGGTAATAAACAAGTAATTATATTTGTGTGTGTGTGATTTCATGAAACAGAATCCATGTATCTCCCTTGGCCACCTTTGAGAAATACACCATTTGTGACAGAAAATGATTTAGTATGACATAGAGTCAAGTAATATTCTCTATTATGTCCCTCATTATACCCCACTGTTATATAAGTATACACAAATGGTTACAGCAAGGCCAACTTTGATATTAGGTTGACTGATTGTTGCATGACCAGCAAACCGAATATTACCCTCTTGCTCATCATCCAGTCCTCAAAGAACTCGGGTTGGTTGAAGTAGTAGAACAGTGACACAGGGAAGCTCATGTACACAGCCATCTGCAACAAAATGCTTCATATTGAAGGAACGTAACAGCCCATGTTTCTATCTTATTACAGCATAGCAAAGTTACCTTTCCTGAGTTAATTTCTTCACCACAATCTATTTCTAAATAGATCTAGCATGGAGATGAAGAAACTATATAGATAAACATATAATTTCCCTTTTTTCTGACAAAAGCATAAGGAAGAGAATTTATGGGTGCCAGCTTCTTTACCATGAGGAACATGTTTCGGAGTATATACTTACTCCTTCACCTCATGTGTGTCACTTCTAAATGCCTTTCAAAGACTTAAGACATGCACACAGCTACTTATATATAACTACAGCAACAGGCACAACTTCTTCCATACATGTATTGATGTTTACCCACGAAAGGCAAATTGCTCTTTATTAAACTAAACTGTAATGATAAAAATTGATTATAGTACACTAAAATAACAAACAGCTATGAGAATATTCTGCCATTTGAAATGATTAAATACTAATGGTAGTTGTGTCACAACAAGAAAGACTATGAGTGTGTTGTGTTCAATGAGATCATCAGATTCTTGCATGGCTTAGGGGTGCAACTTTGCACAGCTAATTATGACACCTCAGACAACTGAGCCAATAGTGCCCAAACAACTGACCAGAATTCTGCCCATGCCTGCGGCCTAAGCTAAACATTTCCCTCACATCACCCAGGTAAGCATAATGACAACAAATTTGCATTATCTCAGTCTCAAAAACTAGTGCAGTTTATTTATGACACCCTGTCATTGATACATAACTCGTTACTTTGAACAAACAAGAACAAACAACACAGCATCTGCGCTTGAGTGAAAACATAAATAAATCCAAAATATTAGGACTAGGGAAAAATATCACAAGTTTCGTGATAATATACACTGATTAGGGTACCAACAAACAGCATTTGGGGTATTATTGTAATCTTAAACTATTATCCTTTGATTGAAATATCCGACTCCGACTTATAAAATTCGAGTAAATATTTTTAAAGCTTGTAGGCTACATTTTAGGGGCCTAGCTTGTTTGTGTGGAGATACTTTAGCCTCGCTGTATAGGTCATACAACTACAAGCACTGATCGACTAAACCTGGTTGAGGTTGGTCTGTTGTATGCCGCTTTAGTCATGATCTCCTGGACCGGCAAATATGAATACAATATTCGTAATACACACAACACGTGAATTAAAATCTTACTTTAAACACTTCGAGTTTCCAGCCACCCATTGCGGAATCAGACAGAACACAAGCACAGTGGAAGAGCAAGCTCCTCACAGCGATAGACCGTTCGCGGAGCTCTCTATACTATACCGAGAGTGTAACGAAGGTGTCACGCGCTGGGAAGGAGCTTGAGTGGAAGAGTTAGTAAGGGAGATCACTCTATTGTACTAAATCTGTTTACGTAAATGACTACAGGATCGTCGGTGACACACCCGTCCAATATCCGTGTCGCTGATATTTAGGCCATGTTATGTATTTATAAGATTGGGGTAATATTAATACTATTTGTTGTTGGCATGTCACATGAAATAAAGAGCCACTTTACTAACTAATTCATGCATTGCAAGTGATTCCATGGCATGACATGCCAAGCAAATTTTTATGCGTCCATGTTCCCATAAATCGATAAAGGGAATAGGGCCACGCTAAACAAAGCGGTTGCGAGAACTAAGATATGATGTTTATGAGATTGTATTGCACTGAACGATGTCACTGATTCCATATTGTTGTCTACGGTCTTTTGTGTGTTAATTATTTAATGAGCATTCTGTGAAGTTAGTATTGTTGACGTATTTATCTGTAAGAATTGACTTCAACATGTTTTTGCCTTAATGGAGAAAAAACCGTATTCACTTGCAGTTTATTTATTTAAGATTGCCTTCAATATTTTTGCGTTTATGGGGGTATAACTAAATTGCAAGTCGTTCCGTGGAAATTGATTCACTGACCAAGCAATTAGTACATGCCTGCATCATCTGTGTACACTATAACGTTATTCATGTACTACACTACCGGACAGAAGAAAGCATACATTTGAAACTTGGATTTGATCAAAACATTACAAACGTTATCAAAACAAATGTTATTAGGCTGAAAACGCTGAAAACTTTAGGTCTATACCCGTATCAAACACATCAACATCGAATAACTATGTCTTAGTTTGTCTTAGTTTAAGCCACTATCAAACATGGGTGTATACTTTCTCTTGCCCGGCGGTGTATTATCATGAACATTCATCTGACTTGGACAAAGAACGCAATCGCTTTACACACAGTAGATACAGTGTCATACAGACGGATTGGCGGAAACACATCAATAATAAAGAAATTAATAACACATATAATATTAATAAGAAGTAAACATCATCGTGTAGCCTGACCACACCACCATCTGCAGGTTTGGAGGTAACAGGGTTGCCTTGCTCAGAGGGAGGGGTGTTTGCGTGTCACACATACCCTCTTGTTACGGTTTCGGTTCTCTGTGGGAACACCATAGAAGTATAGAAGTAAACATTTTACGTCGGTAAGGCAATATCAGCGACCCCGACAGTGTAAAATACTGTTACAGCGTCTATCTGTTACAGATCGCAAGCCATGACAATGCTGGTGGAACATCTACTACAGACTCACCAACTGTCAGCGTCTGGATGCTGTTAAAACATCTGACAACAAAGGATAAAGTAACAACCTAGGATTTATTGCATAACATTTACATAACAGGAAAGATGTAAAATCATATAAAATAGATATCACCAAAGTCTGAAACATATAGATAAAGTGGCTGCTTAAACAATGGGAACACATCCCTGTACATCTGTGTATATACTCTCCTTGGCATGACAAAAACCATGACGTATTACTGCCACAGTTGTGTCCACAAAGGAACGGGTCTTTCACAGCTTTATGGAGACATCTTGTCATCAGATGTGAAGATGAACCGTGAGCTTGAAGCATCTGGGACATCTGTCCGTGAGACTGTTTAACTGATGTCCGGGTTTCCATGTGTCACCGGGGACCATTAGTCCCTAAAGTTCTTTGTTCAGCTCCCAGCCTTCTCCTGGGCCTCCACGACCTCCCACCAGAGGGCGCCCGGCTTCAGGCAGTAGTCGGGGTCATAGCTCAAAACCTCGTCTTCCACACAGTACTCTGGTGCTATCACCAAATCCTCACCGAAAGTGGGATCTTCCGCCTCTCTTCTCTCCACGACCTCCCACCACGAGGTGTTGGGAGCCAGTGTGAAATCTCCATGTGGAGCAAGGGAGACAATATCGTTCGCATCGCCCCGCTCGGCGGCATCAAGAGATCCCCGAACGCTGTGGTGACCTCTGAACACTGTCCGGCATCTTCGTGCACACGACCTCAGGGCCAAGAAGATGCCCACGATGACCACTGGAAAATCAGAAACATGACTCAATGATTTGTGAAAAAACAACATCGTTTTATGGCTACAAATATAGCTTCGGATCACCCATAACACCCTCATGTGTTGATACAATCTCCACATGTAAGGCAGCAACGTATATCCGCTTTTACAAAGACAGAGTGAGAATGTCAGACAATCTTATTTGATCCAAATTTTGAAGATATAGTTTGGGCTACTTGTATATTGTGAAGTTTTGCAGAAGATGAGGATTCCGTGTTGACGCGATTGAATTGCCACTTATACACCTGTCGTAGAAAATATACTTACCACCTCCAACAAAGATTGAGCAGATTATAAGGACCATGTGACTTTGGCCGGTTATTATATCTGAAAACATAAATGTATTGATTAGATGACGTCCTTAAATCGTTGGTTTCAGTTTTAATAGATTGTAATTAAAACATTCTAGATACCGAGGCGTGTTTTCTGGTAGAACGGTTTTATTTAATCCATATGGTTTTCAGGCCTTTTTGTCAACACACATTCCCTTTTGGAAAACTAAAACTAACTACAGAAGTAAATTTACCTTTGACATAGTTCATTCGAGACTGAATCCCAATCTCGATGCTCGGCAATCTGAAACAATGTTACTATTTTTAAATAGGCACACTACATCAGTTCAAAACAAGATGTAAGTTTAGTATATTAAAACACACAAACGGGATTTAAGTGAGGCAAACACAAACTATCGTCTTCTGTTGCTTTCTATGTGAAACATAAGTTACGGCGGGCGATATCTTGTCTCTCTTTTCTTTAATGATATCGCAACAAGTTGACAAAATACATATTAATAATTAGTCACAGTTCGTTCGGGAATATATAATTATATACATTGTACTAATATATATATGCATCAAAATATACCAATCAAAATGTACTCGCTATACATGTTTTTGAAATGCGCGAATTATTTTGCTTCTACAAGTATGCCTATACAAAACCCAAGAAATCATACAATCAATACACTATCAAGTAAATATTATAACACACACATTAAATTGTTTCTCCCATATGCGATTGCTTCTGCTTTCAATGGTAAAGAAGTGGATAACTTACCTCGTAGGAAGAGTTGATATTGACGGCATGTCGCGAATATGTGTCGATACAGCAGGCGCTAAAGATAAAGACAGCATCATGCAAGTAGCGCAATCGTCACTGTCTGTGACGTCACACCCTTAGATACCATTGCTCAAGGGCAGGTAACTCTATGGTTAACGTGTTTTGTGAAGAAGGGCATAGCCTTTTGTGAATCGCTACCACAGAGCTCATGATCATCGTTAAATGTATCTTCCCGGTAGATTACATAAATGTAAAGTTTTGTTTGAGAATTGGACATATTTTGGAATTGATATAAAATTCGAATGGAAATACCTACATGCAACGTGGGAAATAAATCCAATCTCATTAAAATCATATCTTAGTTCTCGCTACCGCTGAACAAAGATCTGAGGACATCCCATTACGGGTCACGTCAGAACGACCTTTTCTTCCGACCCCTAATCAGAGCGTCGCTTACCACATCATGAAAGTGACAGTCGGAATGGGAGATCTAATCTTGCAACCTCAAAAACATTAACACGGGTTATTCCGAACGACAGTTACGGGCTTAACGACTGAATCCATACAATCTAGACCATCTATTGGCCATTCCAGAATGTGTTTTTGTTCAGGTTTCAATTTTTGAATGGAGAATTTGTCAAAATATGTTTCGAAGCGTAGTCGCCAATTTGAAATTAGTGCCCTAAAGCACGAGAAAGCTGCCTTCTGATTGGCTAATGTGGACTTCTTGTCAGTCATTTCATTGGTCGGTCAAAGTTCGCGCAAGGTTGGTCTGATGTGACCCGTAATGGGATGTCCTCAGATCTTTGTTTAGCGGTAGCGAGAACTAAGATCTGATTTTAATGAGATTGGAAATAAATCACTTATAAAATAAGCTCATACAAAACACTTTGGCAGATGTTCTTGGGTGTACCAGTTCTGTGAAAATATTCGTGTTTCTTGTTTATACATTTGTGATTCGGGATCAATGGCTAGAAGCCTTAGCATATACTCAACACAAGCTTTACGGGTCAATGGTATTTTCATGTAAAATGACCATACCACAGTCAATATGTTTTAGTGAGTGACTGAGTAAGATTAGGTTTTAACATTATTTTAGTTATATCAGGTGTGTCAGCTTCATGTAGACGGGATGTGGTACAGGCAAATACATCCAACGATGAAGGTGATGGTGCTGACAAACGTAGAAACATTATCAGGGTGAATCTGGCATGACAACCCACAAGCACAAGTTGCGGGCACTCTTAATGGACGCATCTCTGCCCAGCGCATTGCGACGTCTTATACGACTGGTATCCTTTCACACCAATGAATGATTTATTGCGTTTGAAAATGCTACAGTGAGTGAGTGAGTGAAATTAGTCGGTGAGTGAGTGAGTGAGTATAAGTGAAATGAGTGAGTGAGTGTAAGTGAAATGAGTCGGTGTGTGAGTGAGTGAGTATAAGTGAAATGTGTCGGTGAGTGAGTGAGTGAGTAAAATGAGTCGGTGAGTGAGTGAGTGAAATGAGTCGGGGAGTGGTTGGGTAAGTGAGTGATTGAGCAGGTGTGTGGGTGTTTAAGTTAATGGGTTGGTGAGTGGGTAGGTAAGTGAGTGAGTTAACATTTAACGTCACTTCGACGATATCAGCGACCCCGAGACTGTATAATACTGTTACAGCGTCTATCTGTTACCGATCGCAAACCATGACAATGCTGATGGAACATCTACTACAGACTCACCAACTGTCAGCGTCTGGATGCTGTTAAAACATCTGACAACAAAGGATAAAGAAACAACCTAGGATTTATTGCATAACATTTACATAACAGGAAAGATGTAAAATCATATAAAAGAGATATCACCAAAGTCTGAAACATATAAATAAAGTGGCTGCTTAAACAATGGGAACACATCCCTGTACATCTGTGTATATACTCTCCTTGGCATGACAAAAACCATGACGTATTACTGCCACAGTTGTGTTCACAAAGGAACGGGTCTTTCACAGCTTTATGGGGACATCCTGTCATCAGATGTGAAGATGAACCGTGAGCTTGAAGCATCTGGGACATCTGTCCGAGAGACTGTTTAACTGATGTCCGGGTTTCCATGTGTCACCGGGGACCAATAGTCCCTAAAGGTCTGTGTTCAGCTCCCAGCCTTCTCCTGGGCCTCCACGACCTCCCACCAGAGGGCGCCCGGCTTCAGGCAGTAGTCGGGGTCAAAGCTCAAAACCTCGTCTTCCACACAGTACTCTGGTGCTATCACCAAATCCTCACCGAAAGTGGGATCTTCCGCCTCTCTTCTCTCCACGACCTCCCACCACGAGGTGTTGGGAGCCAGTGTGAAATCTTCATGTGGAGCAAGGGAGACAATGTCGTTCGCATCGCCCCGCTCGGCGGCATCAAGAGATCCCCAAACGCTGTGGTGACCTCTGAACACTGTCCGGCATCTTCGTGCACACGACCTCAGGGCCAAGAAGATGCCCACGATGACCACTGGAAAATCAGAAACATGACTCAATGATTTGTGAAAAACAACATCGTTTTATGGCTACAAATATAGCTTCGGATCACCCATAACACCCTCATGTGTTGATACAATCTCCACATGTAAGGCAGCAACGTATATCCGCTTTTACAAAGACAGAGTGAGAATGTCAGACAATCTTATTTGATCCAAATTTTGAAGATATAGTTTGGGCTACTTGTATATTGTGAAGTTTTGCAGAAGATGAGGATTCCGTGTTGACGCGATTGAATTGCCACTTATACACCTGTCGTAGAAAATATACTTACCACCTCCAACAAAGATTGAGCAGATTATAAGGACCATGTGACTTTGGCCGGTTATTATATCTGAAAACATAAATGTATTGATTAGATAACGTCCTAAAATCGTTGGTTTTAGTTTTAATAGATTGTAATTAAAACATTCTAGATACTGAGGCGTGTTTTCTGGTAGAACGGTTTTATTTAATCCATATGGTTTTCAGGCCTTTCTGTCAACACACATTCCCTTTTGGAAAACTAAAACTAACTACAGAAGTAAATTTACCTTTGACATAGTTCATTCGAGACTGAATCCCAATCTCGATGCTCGGCAATCTGAAACAATGTTACTATTTTTAAATAGGCACACTACATCAGTTCAAAACAAGATGTAAGTTTAGTATATTAAAACACACAAACGGGATTTAAGTGAGGCAAACACAAACTATCGTCTTCTGTTGCTTTCTATGTAAAACATAAGTTACGGCGGGCGATATCTTGTCTCTCTTTTCTTTAATGATATCGCAACAAGTTGACAAAATACATATTAATAATTAGTCACAGTTCGTTCGGGAATATATAATTATATACATTGTACTAATATATATATGCATCAAAATATACCAATCAAAATGTACTCGCTATACATGTTTTTGAAATGCGCGAATAATTTTGCTTCTACGAGTATGCCTATACAAAACCCAAGAAATCATACAATCAATACACTATCAAGTAAATATTATAACACACACATTAAATTGTTTCTCCCATATGCGATTGCTTCTGCTTTCAATGGTAAAGAAGTGGATAACTTACCTCGTAGGAAGAGTTGATATTGACGGCATGTCGCGAATATGTGTCGATACAGCAGGCGCTAAAGATAAAGACAGCATCATGCAAGTAGCGCAATCGTCACTGTCTGTGACGTCACACCCTTAGATACCATTGCTCAAGGGCAGGTAACTCTATGGTTAACGTGTTTTGTGAAGAAGGGCATAGCCTTTTGTGAATCGCTACCACAGAGCTCATGATCATCGTTAAATGTATCTTCCCGGTAGATTACATAAATGTAAAGTTTTGTTTGAGAATTGGACATATTTTGGAATTGATATAAAATTCGAATGGAAATACCTACATGCAACGTGGGAAATAAATCCAATCTCATTAAAATCATATCTTAGTTCTCGCTACCGCTGAACAAAGATCTGAGGACATCCCATTACGGGTCACGTCAGAACGACCTTTTCTTCCGACCCCTAATCAGAGCGTCGCTTACCACATCATGAAAGTGACAGTCGGAATGGGAGATCTAATCTTGCAACCTCAAAAACATTAACACGGGTTATTCCGAACGACAGTTACGGGCTTAACGACTGAATCCATACAATCTAGACCATCTATTGGCCATTCCAGAATGTGTTTTTGTTCAGGTTTCAATTTTTGAATGGAGAATTTGTCAAAATATGTTTCGAAGCGTAGTCGCCAATTTGAAATTAGTGCCCTAAAGCACGAGAAAGCTGCCTTCTGATTGGCTAATGTGGACTTCTTGTCAGTCATTTCATTGGTCGGTCAAAGTTCGCGCAAGGTTGGTCTGATGTGACCCGTAATGGGATGTCCTCAGATCTTTGTTTAGCGGTAGCGAGAACTAAGATCTGATTTTAATGAGATTGGAAATAAATCACTTATAAAATAAGCTCATACAAAACACTTTGGCAGATGTTCTTGGGTGTACCAGTTCTGTGAAAATATTCGTGTTTCTTGTTTATACATTTGTGATTCGGGATCAATGGCTAGAAGCCTTAGCATATACTCAACACAAGCTTTACGGGTCAATGGTATTTTCATGTAAAATGACCATACCACAGTCAATATGTTTTAGTGAGTGACTGAGTAAGATTAGGTTTTAACATTATTTTAGTTATATCAGGTGTGTCAGCTTCATGTAGACGGGATGTGGTACAGGCAAATACATCCAACGATGAAGGTGATGGTGCTGACAAACGTAGAAACATTATCAGGGCGAATCTGGCATGACAACCACAAGCACAAGTTGCGGGCACTCTTAATGGACGCATCTCTGCCCAGCGTATTGCGACGTCTTATACGACTGGTATCCTTTCACACCAATGAATGATTTATTGCGTTTGAAAATGCTACAGTGAGTGAGTGAGTGAGTGAAATTAGTCGGTGAGTGAGTGAGTATAAGTGAAATGAGTGAGTGAGTGTAAGTGAAATGAGTGAGTGAGTGTAAGTGAAATGAGTCGGTGTGTGAGTGAGTGAGTGAGTATAAGTGAAATGTGTCGGTGAGTGAGTGAGTGAGTGAGTACGTGAGTGAGTAAAATGAGTCGGTGAGTGAGTGAGTGAAATGAGTCGGGGAGTGGTTGGGTAAGTGAGTGATTGAGCAGGTGTGTGGGTGTTTAAGTTAATGGGTTGGTGAGTGGGTAGGTAAGTGAGTGAGTTAACATTTAACGTCACTTCGACGATATCAGCGACCCCGAGACTGTATAATACTGTTACAGCGTCTATCTGTTACCGATCGCAAACCATGACAATGCTGGTGGAACATCTACTACAGACTCACCAACTGTCAGCGTCTGGATGCTGTTAAAACATCTGACAACAAAGGATAAAGTAACAACCTAGGATTTATTGCATAACATTTGCATAACAGGAAAGATGTAAAATCATATAAAAGAGATATCACCAAAGTCAGAAACATATAAATAAAGTGACTGCTTAAACAATGGGAACACATCCCTGTACATCTGTGTATATACTCTCCTTGGCATGACAAAAACCATGACGTATTACTGCCACAGTTGTGTTCACAAAGGAACGGGTCTTTCACAGCTTTATGGAGACATCCTGTCATCAGATGTGAAGATGAACCGTGAGCTTGAAGCATCTGGGACATCTGTCCGAGAGACTGTTTAACTGATGTCCGGGTTTCCATGTGTCACCGGGGACCATTAGTCCCTAAAGTTCTTTGTTCAGCTCCCAGCCTTCTCCTGGGCCTCCACGACCTCCCACCAGAGGGCGCCCGGCTTCAGGCAGTAGTCGGGGTCATAGCTCAAAACCTCGTCTTCCACACAGTACTCTGGTGCTATCACCAAATCCTCACCGAAAGTGGGATCTTCCGCCTCTCTTCTCTCCACGACCTCCCACCACGAGGTGTTGGGAGCCAGTGTGAAATCTTCATGTGGAGCAAGGGAGACAATGTCGTTCGCATCGCCCCGCTCGGCGGCATCAAGAGATCCCCGAACGCTGTGGTGACCTCTGAACACTGTCCGGCATCTTCGTGCACACGACCTCAGGGCCAAGAAGATGCCCACGATGACCACTGGAAAATCAGAAACATGACTCAATGATTTGTGAAAAACAACATCGTTTTATGGCTACAAATATAGCTTCGGATCACCCATAACACCCTCATGTGTTGATACAATCTCCACATGTAAGGCAGCAACGTATATCCGCTTTTACAAAGACAGAGTGAGAATGTCAGACAATCCTTTTTGATCCAAATTTTGAATATATAGTTTGGGCTACTTGTATATTGTGAAGTTTTGCAGAAAATGAGGATTCCGTGTTGACGCGATTGAATTGCCACTTATACACCTGTCGTAGAAAATATACTTACCACCTCCAACAAAGATTGAGCAGATTATAAGGACCATGTGACTTTGGCCGGTTATTATATCTGAAAACATAAATGTATTGATTAGATAACGTCCTTAAATCGTTGGTTTTAGTTTTAATAGATTGTAATTAAAACATTCTAGACACTGAGGCGTGTTTTCTGGTAGAACGGTTTTATTTAATCCATATGGTTTTCAGGCCTTTCTGTCAACACACATTCCCTTTTGGAAAACTAAAACTAACTACAGAAGTAAATTTACCTTTGACATAGTTCATTCGAGACTGAATCCCAATCTCGATGCTCGGCAATCTGAAACAATGTTACTATTTTTAAATAGGCACACTACATCAGTTCAAAACAAGATGTAAGTTTAGTATATTAAAACACACAAACGGGATTTAAGTGAGGCAAACACAAACTATCGTCTTCTGTTGCTTTCTATGTGAAACATAAGTTACGGCGGGCGATATCTTGTCTCTCTTTTCTTTAATGATATCGCAACAAGTTGACAAAATACATATTAATAATTAGTCACAGTTCGTTCGGGAATATATAATTATATACATTATTACTAATATATATATGCATCAAAATATACCAATCAAAATGTACTCGCTATACATGTTTTTGAAATGCGCGAATAATTTTGCTTCTACAAGTATGCCTATACAAAACCCAATAAATTATACAATCAATACACTATCAAGTAAATATTATAACACACACATTAAATTGTTTCTCCCATATGCGATTGCTTCTGCTTTCAATGGTAAAGAAGTGGATAACTTACCTCGTAGGAAGAGTTGATATTGACGGCATGTCGCGAAAATGTGTCGATACAGCAGGCGCTAAAGATAAAGACGGCATCATGCAAGTAGCGCAATCGTCACTGTCTGTGACGTCACACCCTTAGATACCATTGCTCAAGGGCAGGTAACTCTATGGTTAACGTGTTTTGTGAAGAAGGGCATAGCCTTTTGTGAATCGCTACCACAGAGCTCATGATCATCGTTAAATGTATCTTCCCGGTAGATTACATAAATGTAAAGTTTTGTTTGAGAATTGGACATATTTTGGAATTGATATAAAATTCGAATGGAAATACCTACATGCAACGTGGGAAATAAATCCAATCTCATTAAAATCATATCTTAGTTCTCGCTACCGCTGAACAAAGATCTGAGGACATCCCATTACGGGTCACGTCAGAACGACCTTTCATCCGACCCCTAATCAGAGCGTCGCTTACCACATCATGAAAGTGACAGTCGGAATGGGATTTCTAATCTTGCAACCTCGAAAACTTTAACACGGGTTATTCCGAACGACAGTTACGGGTTTAACGACTGAATCCATACAATCTAGACCATCTATTGGCCATTCCAGAATGTGTTTTTGTTCAGGTTTCAATTTTTGAATGGAGAATTTGTCAAAATATGTTTCGAAGCGTAGTCGCCAATTTGAAATTAGTGCCCTAAAGCACGAGAAAGCTGCCTTCTGATTGGCTAATGTGGACTTCTTGTCACACACTCCGTCGCAGTGGTGACCCAGCATAACACCACTGCCACAGGCTAATTTGCATATCACGTGACCGGACTTTTCTCTTGTTTGTAAACAAACGCGCTTTTTCAGAAATCAGTATAGAACGGACTAATGCAAGTATTTGGAGGCGCTTTACATATTGTTTTGCTTAACTATATAGATATGCTACTACAACTGCGACAGTGAGTTGCATGACAATATATATTTATGCATCAAAGTGACCGTGTCGCTAGCTCTCCGTTGGGCTTCGATGACAGCACGTGGAGCCGTACAACCAATGTAAACATAGGATAACCACGCAAAAACAAGTAGATTTTTACGTATTTGCATACTTTCTAAATGAAAGTTAACCATTCTTTGACATTTGTTTATGAAAATGTGTAGACTTGTCAAACATGAAACGGATGAAAAGCATATACAATATCTTGAATGGACTGTGAAAGATGTGACGAATCGTCACATGGCGCTGGCCTGTGGCAGAGGTACTATGCTAGCTGGCTGCCGGCCGCATGGAACTCTGGGTAGGGGAGTGTTCTTGTCAGTCATTTCATTGGTCGGTCAAAGTTCGCGCAAGGTTGGTCTGATGTGACCCGTAATGGGATGTCCTCAGATCTTTGTTTAACGGTAGCGAGAACTAAGATCTGATTTTAATGAGATTGGAAATAAATCACTTATAAAATAAGCTCATACAAAACACTTTGGCAGATGTTCTTGGGTGTACCAGTTCTGTGAAAATATTCGTGTTTCTTGTTTATACATTTGTGATTCGGGATCAATGGCTAGAAGCCTTAGCATATACTCAACACAAGCTTTACGGGTCAATGGTATTTTCATGTAAAATGACCATACCACAGTCAATATGTTTTAGTGAGTGACTGAGTAAGATTAGGTTTTAACATTATTTTAGTTATATCAGGTGTGTCAGCTTCATGTAGACGGGATGTGGTACAGGCAAATACATCCAACGATGAAGGTGATGGTGCTGACAAACGTAGAAACATTATCAGGGCGAATCTGGCATGACAACCACAAGCACAAGTTGCGGGCACTCTTAATGGACGCATCTCTGCCCAGCGCATTGCGACGTCTTATACGACTGGTATCCTTTCACACCAATGAATGATTTATTGCGTTTGAAAATGCAACAGTGAGTGAGTGAGTGAGTGAAATTAGTCGGTGAGTGAGTGAGTGAGTATAAGTGAAATGAGTGAGTGAGTGTAAGTGAAATGAGTGAGTGAGTGTAAGTGAAATGAGTCGGTGTGTGAGTGAGTGAGTGAGTATAAGTGAAATGTGTCGGTGAGTGAGTGAGTGAGTACGTGAGTGAGTAAAATGAGTCGGTGAGTGCGTGAGTGAAATGAGTCGGGGAGTGGTTGGGTAAGTGAGTGATTGAGCGGGTGTGTGGGTGTTCAAGTTAATGGGTTAGTGAGTGGGTAGGTAAGTGAGTGAGTTAACATTTAACGTCACTTCGACGATATCAGCGACCCCGAGACTGTATAATACTGTTACAGCGTCTATCTGTTACCGATCGCAAACCATGACAATGCTGGTGGAACATCTACTACAGACTCACCAACTGTCAGCGTCTGGATGCTGTTAAAACATCTGACAACAAAGGATAAAGTAACAACCTAGGATTTATTGCATAACATTTACATAACAGGAAAGATGTAAAATCATATAAAAGAGATATCACCAAAGTCTGAAACATATAAATAAAGTGGCTGCTTAAACAATGGGAACACATCCCTGTACATCTGTGTATATACTCTCCTTGGCATGACAAAAACCATGACGTATTACTGCCACAGTTGTGTTCACAAAGGAACGGGTCTTTCACAGCTTTATGGAGACATCCTGTCATCAGATGTGAAGATGAACCGTGAGCTTGAAGCATCTGGGACATCTGTCCGAGAGACTGTTTAACTGATGTCCGGGTTTCCATGTGTCACCGGGGACCATTAGTCCCTAAAGTTCTTTGTTCAGCTCCCAGCCTTCTCCTGGGCCTCCACGACCTCCCACCAGAGGGCGCCCGGCTTCAGGCAGTAGTCGGGGTCATAGCTCAAAACCTCGTCTTCCACACAGTACTCTGGTGCTATCACCAAATCCTCACCGAAAGTGGGATCTTCCGCCTCTCTTCTCTCCACGACCTCCCACCACGAGGTGTTGGGAGCCAGTGTGAAATCTTCATGTGGAGCAAGGGAGACAATGTCGTTCGCATCGCCCCGCTCGGCGGCATCAAGAGATCCTCGAACGCTGTGGTGACCTCTGAACACTGTCCGGCATCTTCGTGCACACGACCTCAGGGCCCAAAGATGCCAACGATGACCACTGGAGCATCAAAAACATGAATCATATACATTTGTAATCCTCGGCGTCGTAGTGTTGGCTTCAAAATAATGTGTTTTGGCTCACATTTATACACGTTGAAGTCAAGAAATTCAGCAACTTTTACTTTTAAAATAAAATTTAAGAAGATCCTCTCATATTCTGAATAGACGCTGTGTAGCATTCACAAAACAGGTTTAAACAGGTATGGTCTGACAAACCTAGAAACATAATCGGGGCGAATCGGGATTCGAACGTGGTTTGTGAAGACAGGCATGCAGCGGTTAAAACTCGCTACCTTTGTACGTATGTTGATCGGTTTCTGTTATTAATGCCGGGCAAATCAAAATAATTTCGTGAAACCGTTTGGATATTTTAATTAGTATGCTATTATCGTAGTTATCTATATTCTTATATTATTTAAACTTTGAATGGACAATATTACTCAAGGACTTGCACGTCTTTTCCTAAAGGTACCGGGACTGCACTTATTTTAAACCCCTCGTGACTTAGCCCTCTTGACTCATAATTTTCAAGTTGAAAGGAAAATTAATCTCTTCTGTTAAGATGTTGCTCTCTCATTCGACTTATGAGTATTGTTTCATTACACTTGGGACGTTCATTCTTCCTGTCATTCGTCCTTTTTCGTTTTTAAGCCCTGGGCTTACATTTGGATTCAACTTTACTCAACATATAGGCAAAATCCGTAATTAAGTCAATTTTATACATGAGGTATTGGAAAGAGAGGGCATGGATTTGTTAATGGCTGGACAGAACATATGAATAGATAACACGCGTTTTCCCTGTCACGGGGAGATCATACATTAAAAGGGGGGCACGGGTGGCCCAGTCGTCTAAGGCGCCGCGATTCGCTGTGCAGAGTTGCGTCCCTTGGCACGCCAGAAACCTATGATTGTGGGTTCGAATCCCGGTTCGCCCCGATTATGTTTCTAGGCTTGTCAGCATCATACCCCTGCTCGTGGGTTTCACCGAAGTGGTAAACGTCTGAGACCTGCATCACTTCGGGATTTCCTCCCACATTACGCTGACATTACTGGAATAATGTTAAAAGCGGCGTTAAACCCAACTCACTCATTCACTCATACATTGAAAAAAATATTTTAAAAAACGGTTGGACAATAGAAAGTATCCATGGTAACACGAATGTACTAAGGTAGGGTACCAATATTGGCATTTACAGACATCAAAAGCAATAATCACAGCATCATCCTATTTGAGGGTGTCATCACTTAAAACATGCAGAGAAATATACCCAGACACATAATTATTGTCACTCCTATACTATAAGACTCATATATATAGGGGCGCCAAGAATTATGAGACCGGGGTATCTATAGTCACTGCTGTAACAAAGCTCATTATATGAAAAAGAAGTTATAGTTTATCAAGGAAGCTTCAGGCAAGACGTTAGAGATATGTCATACAACAACCATGAACACATTCTGATGAATCATGACATGTGTTTGTATTAGAGCCTGCAGAAAAAAAATATTTCTATCACAAATTTCTTTTGTCAAGGACAAAAGATGCAAAATTTAACACTATAAGGATTCAAATTTCGATTTCGCAATAGCTTTTTATAATTTGTAATGTCTGTAAAATAGAAGTAATATTATTTCTTTTTGGATACGAACCTGTCAACTCATATATCATGATTACGTGAAATTGAATAACCTCCCTTGAATTGATATTCCAGAACGAGGCTTCGTTCGCCATATTTGCGGAAAGAGAAGCAAAGGCAGTGTGTTGTTTTGCAGTGTGCTGTAATTTTCCACTTACTAGTGGATCAGCGTTGATATCTGTCTTTCGCGATGGATTTATTGACTCTAATACTTCATTATCGTTCCCCCTTCACGAACCATGGCACGTCAGAATCTTCACTGTGTACATAACCCCTCTTATAAAGAGACTGGCGACACAGCCTTCCACAAATACAGGCCTGTCTGTTGAGTCCGTCACTGTCTTTGGCCGAGTGTTATTGTCAAATAATTCTTTGTCAGCCATGGAAATGCACATTAATAACTATCAACTTCATTCGAGAAGGGTAAACTTGACATAAACAGCCACTAATATGATTCTGTAAACCAAAATACCCTCTTGGACGCGTAGAGAACTAGAGATGGGGGATCCCCATGCACGGAAAAGTGCGGCCGTCAGCAGGCTTCGGCACCAACTTAGAAAGAAAAGAGAGTCGCTTGCTGACCATTTTGAGTTCAAGATGTATATTATTTTTCATTTCAAAGAAAAGGTGAATCCACATTTGTAGTGTTTTCCAGTTTCAATTTGTTTGAATTACTTTAATATTTTACAAACAATAACAAGTATTTGCCAATGTGGAGCGATAGATTAACAAGCTCCCACGTTTTTAATCACCATGATTGTAGCCAAAATAGCTTTCATTGAATCACTTGTAGCATTTTAATGACATTTCAGGAAACATACTAGCCATATTACCAGAGACCATATAATTATCATATTGTCTCTGATATTACACATCAAAGCTTGTTTACATTTTGATGCTGATTCTCTTGAATGCTCTTGGGAAATTGGTGTAATCAAAACTTAATTTTAATAAATAAATGGTACAAGAAACCACTGTTGTGTTAGAGTAAAACTGAAAACTATTTTGCTACACTGACTAACATCAACCCCTGTGAAATATCACAATTGTATGCCTATTTATGGTCTCCTAATTTGCTTTTGTTTGTATCATTGTGTACTGCATATCTCCAATGACACCGACAAAGAGTTCTATGCGGTTGAAGTTTGGATATTTGAACTTTGTTGATTCCTACTCCAATAACTCCCCTTTAATTTGGGGTCATTTTTGACCTGAGAATGGTACAATGGTTTTGGTAAAAAACAAAGAAAACTACTATTTGTGTGTGAGGAGGTTTTATCATTGGAGTGGTGGGACACCAGAAAAGGGCTTCTCGCATTTTACCCATGTGTGGAATTGAACACAGATCTTTGGCAGGACAAGCCAACACTTTAAACGCTTGGGAAGCATCTTCTATAAAGACGGTGAGATCATGAGCTAAGGACAGCACTGAAGCAGAATTCTTGTACCAGCATTCAAGAAAAAATATGTGAAGAGAGTATATCCCCTTACATTCCTCACCAACCTTAGTATGACCCAAACTGATGAAATTATTTAGATTTCTTATCCATTTCCAGAGCAAAATGTAAATCGCCTCTGGTCTAGTGGATAGAGCATCTGCCCAGGGGGTGGAAGGTCTGGGGTTTGATCCCGGCCACGTCATACCAAAAGATGTCAAAAGGTGGTCCTTGTTGTTACCTTGTCTTGCGTTCAGCTTTGTGGGACTAAAACAAGGACTGGTCGGCTTGTAGTCAGTATACTGTGTCTGAGTGCGGTATTCATGTTAATCTGCGGCATGATATTTCAGTGGGCTAGCACTATGAAATCGGCATTAGTCCTGACTAGTTCAAGCAGCCACATGACATTAACCCTTTTTCACCTCACTTCACCTCACCTGAATGTTAGAAAGTCTAGGAACATATATTTTTCACGTGACAGATGTTTGTGAGATCAAAACCTCTTAAATCTATTTTTGGACTGGTCATTTTGTAAGTGTATGATGAAAGATGTTGTGTACAGTAATATTAAGTAACTGATTACTTTTTCAGAAGAAAAAGGTTGCTATTTTTGAAGTAGCAGAAGTTGTTCCGGTAATGACCAACAACTATGAAGACAGTATTCTCAAAGGTGTAAAGGTGAGTACAGAGGATTTAAAGTCATTGTAACTCAAAGTAATTTCATTAACAAGGGAACTTACCAATCTGTTCAAAACTTAATCTTTTACTCTGAAATGATATCTCTCTGCATGAAGATCAGATGGCACCTCCACAGGAGGTAGTGTCAGGTGAACTTTCAAATAAATGTTGAGAGGCTTCCAAATTGTAGGTACGGGTGAACCAAGCATTCAGACAAATATGTCTGATTTCTGTATCTCAGAATTAGAATCTAATCAGATCAGGGAGTTCTGAATGCAAGGAAACAAAGCTGCACTATTATATTGTTGATATGTTATAGATCGTGTCATTTTTTAGCTCAGTGGCATATGCACCTCAAATGGTGTACTATCATGGGTGTTTGTGTTCTGTGACAGTTTCCTTTTGCCATGATCAAAATTTCTGAATCAAGGTGGCAAAGAAATGAAGCCTATTCTGATTGGCTCAAGAACCAATTCAATCTTCATTTAGATTGGGCATAAAAAAAATGCTTAGTGTCATCCAGACACGACTTTCTATGGAGGTGTCACCTCTTCACACAAAGAGGTATTATAGCAGAGTAGTAGAACTAGCATATAAAAAAAATAACTGATATGTTTATCATTGATCAGAAGTGTAATAAATTGACACCCATGAAAATCCGGTTAGAATAGGTCTTCACCAACCAATGCTTGTCCTAAGAGGCAACTAACGGAATCTTTTGGTCAGGATCACTGACTTAGTTGATAAGATCTAAGATCAATGCTCAACATGTCATCTCTGGATTGTCTGGTCCAGACTTGATTATTTACAGACTGCCATTGTCTAGCTAGAATATTGCTGAGTGTGGCGTTAAACAACAAACAATGTTAAAATTGAAAAACTGTTCACTCAGTGTACAAGTATACTGTTGAAATCAGCTTGTCTCAAGTTGAACATATTGAAGGGTACTTGTCCCGAAGTTATAAGCACCAACTATTTGAGCTTGTATGTTTTGTGGAGATCTTTTTCTTACCTTGTGGAACAGCCACTATGATTGTGGGTTCGTCAGCACCATACCTGTGCTCATGGGTTTCACAAAAGTGTCTGAGACCTGCATCACTTTGGGATTTCCTCCCACATTAAGCTGACATGCCTTGTTATGACTGGAATGTTGTTCAAAACTAGGTTCAAAACTCAACTCACAGAGTGTGACTACTAACATTATGTAACCTTTAGTTCCTGTTGTACATATACATATATCTCAAGTCAAGCCTACTCACAGAGTCAGGCAAGGTTTTTCTCCACCCCTTCACTGCTATCCAAATTAACACAGTGTTGCAAGCACAGTCCCACCTTCAAGCATTACCTTATAGTATGCAGCATTACTTTTGTTGGAGTTCCGGTTTGCTCCAGTGGCTTAATTATACCCCGACCTAAGAAGGCAGGGTGTATAGTTTTACCAAGGAATTCCGTCTGTCATTCCAAAGACATTTTTATGTGCGACCTATACCATAAATACTACTGCATAGATTCTTTTCAAACTTGGTGAACGCTTATTGTACCAATAGATGAGTGGCAGAGTAGAGTTTGATTACAATATTTGGATTTTCTGAAAAAATACAGCTATTTACATTTTTTTACATTTAGAATGTTTTTACAGAAACATTTGTGCAACCTATAACTTGAAAACAGTTGCATTGATTCTTTCAAAAGTTAGTGAACAGTTTCCATACCAATAGAAAAAGTGCAGTGCAAAGTTTAATTTTGATATGTGGATTTCCTGAGAAAATATGATTTTTTACATGTTTTGAACTTAGCATATCCTTTTTTACTACAACATTTGTGCGACCTATAACTTAAGAACTACGTCATAGATTCTTTTAAAATTTACGAAACACTTTCTATACTTATAGGAATGGTGCAGTGCAAAGTTTGATTTTGATATATTGGGCTTACCACTTTGGTGTCCTAAGCTAACTGATTGTATTTCTATTCTGGTTTTGTCCTTTAGCAGCAAAACTAATCTCTGAACCAAGTGAAAACAGTGGTTGATCATGACTCTTTAGCTTATGAGGATGTTCAGTTACCCCAGTCTTCAAACTCAATTTACTTGTCTTACATAAGATGCTACATTTAGCATGTTCAGAAGTTAATCAGAACCCTGTTATATTTGATGCATGTTTATTTTATATTTCAGGAAGAGGCTTATTCTTATGAAAGCTCCCGAGAACTCCTAGACAAAGATGTAGTTCAGTTGCATGCTCCTAGGTGGCAGTCCATGAGAAGGGTAGGTGTTAATACTTGTGGCATGTCTGCTAGTCATAGCAAATGGCAGGGTTAGTTAATTCAGGGTTATAACTGGTAAAGATCATCAAAAGCTGGGAGTATCCTATTTGAGATAATTTTTCAGATGTATTTCAAGATTAGTATGATTGATTAGAGGCTCTTAAACTATAAGACAAACTTCTATTATATGGACTTTGGAAAATGCTTGTTCATCACAGATTGTACGTGTACTTTGTGTACAGGAAATATACTATATACTTTCTTTTTTTCATGATACACTCAGTAAAATAGTTTAACAAGGTTTGCAGGTAACATTCTCCATAAGGAAGACATAAATAATATCCACAACCCACACTTTTGAGAATAGTTTCTCATTGTCAGCATCAAGGTATATGACTCGTACTGCTGTACAAGCAGTATATAAATATTCAGAGTGAAGTTTATATACTATATACTTGGGTGAATGTTGTTTTTTATCGTGTGTATGGATGTGTTGCAGCGCTGAACTTGCAAACATTAGATGTACAAAATTGTGTACTCAAAATGTTCTTTTCAGGATGTCATTGGATGTACAACAGAGATTGACTTTTTCCTTTGGCCTAGAAGTGACATTGACAGGATTGAGTGTCAACTCTTTTCTCGCTGGAAGGGAGACCAACTCCCATTCAAACGTATTGAGGTATGTTGCAGAAGATATGTGCACATTGATGATGATTGTGTTACATGCTGCAGGTTTAATACATTGTGTTATGACTTATATCATCATTTCATTCATGATTATCACTTTGAGGGATTTTGTGACAGTGTCAGAAGAAAGTGTTTATCAGTATTCCTGGGCAGAATAGGTTTCCTGGTACCTCATGCTTGTCAATATTGAAAATAGGTTTTTGATTGTTACAATGTGTGATCTGTCTGATTGGCATCATCCTAGCCTGATGATGGGGTTCATTGTTCATGCTTCCTGGTTGAAACACCCACTTCAAAAAGTAGTTTGAAGACACACTTCTTGTCTTTAGTATTTTGTCTGACAGTTATTGAAGCATTAATGAATTACTGTTATTTACTGATGTGGATATGACCTAATTACCAAGATTTTGTCTTTGGTTCCCCTTGAATTCCTGGAAAGAATAGGTCTCAAGTATTTATGTGTTTGTTGTTTTCTTTGGTTATTTCATGTCCAATATTATAAGAAACTGTCAGGGAGATGATTACTGCATGTGTGTGTGGCAGGCCAGCTTCTTGTTCAGTCACCTGGACTATGAGAGACAGCTGATGAGACTAGTGAGTCGGCGAGATAAAGAGGGGCTCATCATCAACAACCCATCCCAGACCATGTTCCTCTTCATAGACAAGCAGCAGCTACAGGTAGGCCCTCTATTCAAATCACTAACAAGGGTACATGCTCGTTTTAGCACCTTGTTTTGATAGAGAAAGAAATTTTTTTTAGGCCAATAAGGCTTGAATGTTTGTTGCCACTGACAGTATGGAGTAAGAAATTAATCAAACAAGGTAAAGAATTTCATTTGTGTTTGTCAAACAAAAGAGAAACTATTTCAGTACATATCCTCTATATGTTTCAGACTGCCAAGAACAAGATCGTGGTGTTCAAGTTGTCCAGTGTCTGCCTCTATCTGCCACAGGTACAACTTACTACACTGTCATGGGTGTACAACAAAAAGCCTTTGCAAATTACATGTAGTCCCAACTGAAAAACGTTTTCACAAGCTTCCGACCAACAAAACACAAGTCACTCACATGTAATTTTGGCCCATTACAAAAAACTACTACTACTACTACCACTAGTGTACAAACTTCTGAATACTACTACTACTAGTAGTAGTAGTAGTAGTAGTAGTAGTAGTAGTAGTAGTTATAGTTAAATTAGTAAGTAATAACAATACAATTACAGAGCTATGTTTTAGTCTGTTTTCAGTCGTACAAATGGGTATCTCTCATACCCTCACTTCTAGTCGTTTAAAAGGAAGCCAGAAGCTGGAATGTAAACATTAAACTTGTTTCCGTCCGGTTGCGCACTCACCTCCCTATGACATGTCACAAATCTCTCAGCGCGCCTCTGAGATTGGTCGCCCGAGAAAGATTCGCGGTAGACTGCTAGTTTGTATTCTTCAGTTGTTGTTCTAATAAAGTAATAATAATATGTCTTACCTGTAGACTCCTGGAATGTAATCCTTGGTAATCCATTGTTTGTGTTCAACACGTGTTTCGCTGTTTGACTTGATTATACACGTGGCAAAGAAAACTGTCTAAAGTAGATCCTCACAAGTATTGTCCTTCCTGCATCATTAAGGACGGGTTTTCAACGTGTTCGTGGGATAAACGTTGTAAAGAATGTGAGCACTTGTCTTCTATAAACTTTAACTTGTATCTTCATGCATTGGCGAAGCGGGCTACTGACCAGCGCTACAAGCAGAGAAGGTCATCGGGTGGATCCTTGGACTCTGCACCCTCCACATCCTGCCCTGGGGGTGGCGAGTCAGCGACACCCAAGAAATCAGTTGAAAAGGCCCGCCTCAGTCAACTTCTGTTTTTTGACAAGACACATGACCGTTCGCCTGCTGATGATACTACCCGCATGACTGATCTTCGTCAATCGGTTGATCGGTTACGGCGGTACCGTGTGGTGACGAGGACCATGAGGGGACTATGGTCCCCAGTCGGTCCGTATCTCGTTCTACCAACGACGATAGGGACGTCGTGCGGGACGACAGGGAACACAGATCCCTCTCTAGAAGTCGTTCCCGTTCCCGGGACGGCAGGTCGAGTGCCTCGTCAAGAGACAGTAAACGACAGAGGACGTCCATCGCCTTTGTGGTCGTCGGGAGTACGATTCGGACGATAACTACGAAGGGGGTCGTAGTACTTCTATAGTTAGAGATCGTAGCCCTCGTCCCCACAAGGACATGCAACGTTCTCACAGGGAGTTTCTGGGAGATCTCGTCTCACTTGCATATCGACCCGGCTTTGATAGAACCAGATCACGGCGGCGGTACTCGCCTCGGCGGCGTCGACCAAGAAGGATTCAACTACGTCAGGGGTCCATGGACCGTCAACCAGTACACCAGCTCCTTCATCTACGCCTACACAATGGATTGTGACGACAGCCCTCCTAGGCCTCCCAAAGACATTGAGTTGTTTGCTTGGCTATCTAACTTTCTGCCTGAGTTATCAAAAGACGATGACAAACCGACGCGTGCTGGTTTTAAGGTCGGAGATACACCACAGTCTCTTCAGTTTTCTTCTCCCAATGTCTTCAGAGCCATGGCTAAAGATATGGACCAGAAATTTACCTCTGCTCTGCCTGGGCAGAGTTTCAGCAAGCCGCCTGTTCGATCTCGTCACCCGATTTATGGCATGTCATAAGTAGGGACTTGGATTGGGGGCTACTCTTCAAGAAACCAGCACCCTCCAAGATTCTTGTAGAAGACAGGCATTTGGAATCCATGGACACTGATGTTCGTCACCAGCTACAACCGCTTGCTATGCTGTCGACACAGATCGAGTACCTCTCCGTGTACTTTGAGGAGAAAGACCCCCAGGACGAGGACGAAAGGACGGTGCCATCGGTCCTCACCTGTATGCAACGGTGGATCTCGGACGTCCTCGCCCAGTCCCGATATGTATCGGGCCAGATAACTACGGCACGTCGCCATGGTTACATCGACTGCACTGAACTACATTATCGTCATGGCAGGACACTCTTACGGGCCCCGTGGTCATCGCAACAGTTGTTTGACGGTCGTACCTACGAAGTTCTGGACAAGTACTCTAGGGAAGCCGAGCGTGTCATCATCATTTTGGCTTCACACAACCTGTCCAGGCGGCCATCGGTTTCGAACGCCCCACGGCGACGTTACAGAAACGTGAATGTGCAACAGGCCTTTCGTAGGGACATGCCTTGACAGCCGTCCCGCAAGAGAGCTTCGGACAAGAAAGGTCGCCAGGTCTCCTTTTCAAAGTATCCCAGAGGGGGAAAGAGCCAGCGGGGATATAAGTGAGGACCCTTCCCCCGCCGTCACCGTCGTTGGAGTCTTCCCTGATGACACTACCTTTAGACGAGCTACCGGTAGGGGGGAGACCTCATCATTAAGCCCACAGGTGGGCTTCCTCAACGACCCTTACATTCAGAACATTTTGACAACAGGCTACGCCCCACGCCTGAGATCAACGCCACCACTGACGTCATCCTCGACATTCCACACTCCACCAACGGATCGGCTGACGGAGGCCATCGATTCGTTGGTGGAAAAGGCAGCAGTACTTCGCCTAGGGACATCGGCACCATTACCGGGGTACTACTCGCCCATCTTTCTAGTACCCAAGAAAAACTCCACAAAGATGCGGCTTATTTTCAATCTCAAGAAGTTCAACGCAACATATCTCCAACAACCCGACACATTCACCATGATATCCCTCAGCTCTCTGCGTTGGATGATATTACCGAGCGACTTCCTCGTCTCAATAGACCTTCAGGACGCGTATCTCCATGTACAAATAGCTTCCGAGTTCCAGAAGTACCTCCGATTCGTCTACCAAGGTATTCATTACCAGTGGTCGGCCCTCCCGTTTGGAATTTCTACGGCCCTGTGCATTTTCAGGCGGATCATGAAGACGGTCGTAGATCAGGGTCGCCTTCTACCTAGTCGACTGGCTCCAAGCTCACCAGTTCACAGAAGCCCTTCAAGGAGAGTTAGCGACCACCCTGAGTCTACTACGGTACCTCGGGTGGATCGTCAACCTTCAAAAGTCGAACTTGGTACCAACTCGGGATCCACAGTACATCGGGATACGCTTCCAGACGGGGGTCAAGCTGGTCAAGGTACCTCAAGACCTTTGGGACAAGATTGACAGCAGCGTTCCGAGACTTCTACATGCCCCGGCGTCAGTGCACACGAGGCAGGAAGTCCTCGGTCTGTTGACATCGGCCCAAGACCTGACTTGCCGTGGTCGTCTTCAACTTCGTCCGCTGCAGAGATTGCTGAACCCCCATCTGGAGTTTCCCAATCTCCTGGTTCCACTTCCGGCGCAGCTACGTTGTCATCTGGAGTGGTGGCTCCAGCCGTCGAACGTTTGCGAAGGCGTCTTTATGAGCGAGCCTCCATTCATACTACACCTATTCGTAGACGCGTCATTGGAAGGCTGGGGAGCGCACTTTCGGGGACGACCAAGTGGCCGGGCTGTGGTCGCCAGAAGAAAAGATCCTCCACATCAACTGCCTTGAGATGGAAGCAGTGATTCAGGCGGTCGCGTTCTGGAAACCTTGACTCTGTCAGAAACGGCTGATGATACAGTCGGACAACTCCACAGTCGTCCACTGCATCAACAAACAGGGAACGACTCGGTCGACGGCCCTTCTGGACCGGACATTCAGGTTCCTCGCCCTCGTCAACGACTTGGACATGGGCGTAAGAGCCTGTCACATCCCGGGGGCCAAGAATGTGATAGCCGATGCCCTGTCGAGACCATAGAGGCCGTCTCCCACGGAGTGGATGATCCATCCGACAGTCTATCATCTGCTGACAGATCAACTCTGGTTGCTCCAAGTACATGTCTTCGCAACCCGGTACAACAACCGCCTCTAGCGATATCGTGGGAGGGTCTAGACGCTTACGCGTTTCCGCCAACAGTGCTGTTACCATCGATACTGGAGAAAGTTTGTCAAACGGCCAACCTACATCTGCTTTTGGTCGCGCCTTATAGGCCGGCCAGAACGTGGTTCCTGGAACTTCTTCAGATCATCAATCAGCCACCGTTCCCGTTACCAGATCAAGACAGCCTCCTTGTTCATCCTCACAACGACGACTTGCATCAGGGGATAAAGAACTTCCAGCTTCACGCCTGGGTTTGCTTAAGACGGCAGCGCTTATCTCGTACGACTCGTAAGCTGTACGATGACAAGTGGGCCACTTTCTCCATTTTCGCCAGGTCTCATGGCTTCAACCCGGCGGTAGCAACCCCACCACAGGTGGCAGAGTTCCTAGTCTATCTCTGGTCATCTCGGCATCTGAAAGGGTCGACGATCTTGACTTATCTGGCAGCTTTGGCTACAGTGGTGACGTCTCCTACGGGCAACAAGCTCACTGAAATACCGTAGTTGCAGAAGATTCTACGTGCCTTCATGGTTGAAGATCAGTCACGTAAATTTTTCGACCGCCGGCCTACGACCTCGATGTCATTCTGCGCAACCTGTCTAGTCAGACTTAAGAGCCTCTAGATCAGGTCGCGTTCGACTTATTTTCTCAGAAAATAGCTTTCCTTCTCTCGCTGGCTACGGCAGCGAGAGTATCGGAAATACATGCCATTGACGTCGGTTTGATTACGTTCAATCAGCGTAACCATGGCAACGTCCATCTTGGTCCCAGATGGGATTTTTTAGCGAAAAATCAATCTCCTGTCCAAGATTCGAGATTCCTTCCTTGTCTGCCATTATGGGCCCTCATGGTCACGCTGATCTCACCCTGTACCTTGTTCGTGCGCTTCATATTTACCTGCAGCGATCTGAACAGCGACGACAACATTTTCAATGGCTGTTCATACCGCTCTCAATCAATGCAAAGAAAGGCATTACACGTAATACTCTCTCCTTTTGGTTGAGAGTGGTCATTCTCAGAGCTTACGAGGCGCAAGGACTCGCATCTACCACCTCCTCTCTCACCGCACGAAGTTCGAGCCATAGCTTCAACATTATCACTCCACAGTAATTGTTCGCTGCAAGCTATTATGGAGGGCTGCTTTTGGAGATCTACTTCAGTGTTTGCTTCGCATTATCTCAGAGATATCTCAACAGAAGATGTTGAAGGACTCAAACAGTTTGGTCCACTCGTGGTGGCACAACAGATCTCCCAGAAAAGACAGTGAATTTGTGCTTATTCACTTTGGACCTTTTGCTCAAAACTTCGTGCCAGATAACATGTTACAATAAAAGCTGTTGGTGAATGTACGCATTCTTATGGTTTTTTTTGTTGTGTGCAGTACTTCGGCTTTTTTATTATGGTTATTTGGTGTATGCATCGTCTTCCCATAATTCATAGTACTGCTCGTATTTTTTAGTTACCTTGTATACTGCGAGTTGCTCTGTAACTAAACTATACGTCGACCACACTTCGATCGCAGTTCAACTGATGTGTGCAGTTGTCCTGTCTCATCGATAATTAGTTATGTGTCGAAGAGCATTAACCATGCTGTGCGTTTGTGATAAACAACTTGTCTCGTCCATGCATCTGATCATGTTCTATTGTCACTTCAGGGATGATCGGGCTTTCCTCCAACATTAACCTGACACGTCGTGATATAACTGGAATACTGTTAAAAGCGACGATAAACACTCACTCACTCACTCACTCACTCACTCACTCACTCACTCACTCACTCACTCACTCACTCACTCACTCACTCACTCACTCACTCACTCACTCACTCACTCACTCACTCACTCACTCACTCACTCACTCACTCACTCACTTGGTACATTCGACGTGAAAGAGGTCACTTCCTGATTACTTTCCAGACCCTCTTTCCAGTGTTCCGTCGAATTCTACCTATTTGTACGACTGAAAACAGACTAAAACATGAGTTTTTCAAAATAAAAACGATGTATTATTGGTCTGTTTTCAGTCGTATGTTCCCACCCAGCCATCCCCACAGGGAAGTAGTTCAGTCCAGTCCTGAATGATGGCTTATTCTTCGAGATTTGTGACATGTCATAGGGAGGTGTGTGCGCAACCGGACGGAAACAAGTTTAATGTTTACATTCCAGCTTCTGGCTTCCTTTTAAACGTGCGACTAGAAGTGAGGGTATGAGAGATACCGATTTGTACGACTGAAAACAGACCAATAAAACATTGTTTTTATTCTGAAAACCCCATGTGTTTAACATTGTCCTCTCAATTGATAATTTCAGGACCAGCTGACCCACTGGGGTGCAGGAAATGTAGAGGAACTCGTTGCAACATATCTTTGACCCAGTGACTTTGACCTGACTATGACACAGTTGGAGACGACCTTCTTCTTGACTAGTTCTGACCTAAGTGTCAGATTGTAATGTGTGTTTGATATGCTTTCTGTTTAGATGGACTAATGGTCATACACAGAAAGCATAGGCGCAAATATTTTTGTAAACAACTTCATGACAAATACAAACTCAATTTCTTTCAAACAGGATACCTTTACATGGTGCAAGCAGATGCTTTATCTTGAGTAGGCTTGACTTGAGATATATGTATTGACAGCCCGAAATGAGTCAGGATATATAATACTCTTATATTACGTTGTTTAACTGCATTTGGTATAAGCAGCTCTCTGGATTAGAAATGAATTTCCCTCGACTTGAAAGTTGTTTGCTGTACAACAGGAACTAAAGGTTACATAATGTTAGTATGTCAGTGAAACGGTACAATATTGTCAATGTTAAATCAAATGTAGACACATACTGTTATATGATAAGTTACAATTGATTCAGCCAAATCATTGTTATTTTAAATGATAATTACAAAGCATAAATGAAAACATTTCCAAAGATTGCATTAGTTATGATCAAACCTCAGTTTGCATGAAGGATTTTTATGCAGATGTCTGGAGCCAAGCCTACGCAAGTACTGAAGGATCCAAGTTCAAACCCGTCTTCTTTTCTCCATTTGCTCATATAGTGGTTCCCTAAGATGGAATGCTATGTTGCAGATACTGTATGACTAATGTACATCTCAATCATGGGTTCCTCCTGAAGGTGAACTAAATACCAAAGGTTCACGCCACCATTGTTGTCACATGTACCCACTGCAGTAGATTAGAACCTTCTGTATTCAAAACTGTACAGCTTTAGCATCCTTGGATTCCCAGGCCATTTTTACTCAACTATCTCCAAACTATGTGGAAGACATGGTGTCAAGTAAAGGGATTGTATGGCCTTAGTGGATCCATAACAAAATGGCTAGGCCCCTCTGAGGAGGCAATAGGATGACTGCCTCTGGAATAGTTAGATGTGTTTCCAAATGCCAATTCAATCTTGAGGAGGGATGATATTATTCATGAGTGCATAATGCAATTTTGAAATTACTAGACTTGTTCATGTTACTTTCTGCAATGTCTATGCTGAAGTATAGGAGCTAAGACAGTTCTTTTTGGTGCTTAATGTTATTTATGGGAGATTAAGTGAAATCAGAATGGCCTGTGAATCCTAGGATATACTTTTGTGTCTAGTGTATAACATTGGACATTTTAACTTGAGAAAGATTGGGCAAGACTGCAGTTTACTGGGCACAGCTTATAGGCTAGCGCTTCTTGGATCAGACTTCAGGTTGTGGCCCTCATTTCACTGATCTCGCATGGCTTTTCGACCCTCCACTCTTACGGTTAGTTCTTTTGGGCTATCGTAGGTTATCCCCAACTCTATCTCTAAGACCTTGAATCACCTTTCTGATCAAGCACCTCTTTACAATCATTTGGGTTGTTAGGTACCCCTTTCCGATCACACACCCCTTCATGAGTTAAGTTATGGGTTAGCCTTCTCAACACTCTTAGCATATTAGTCCAATGTAGTTTGAGGAAAATCTTTTTAGATTTTTATAGAGTTTTTGAGTTTCAGGGGAAAAACATGGCTGCTGCACATGATCAGGTTCTGATCACTAGGAACACAAGTTCAATGTATTTGTGATATCATGTATGGTCCTGTGGTGAGGTGTTGGCTAATTAGATTAACAAATAAACATAGCTTAGCAATGCGAGTTCGGTCCTCCGTTCTGCAATCCGAAAAAGTGGACCCCAGTAAAGTGCAGTCCTCCCAAAAATATTTTATTGCCTATCTTTTGAATACAAATTGTCAAACATGGACAAATAATATTTTAGTTTTACTTCATAGATCATATGGACTGTTTTTATGTGTAATTGACAAAATCTCAAGATATATTTAATAATTGTTCATTTCACATATTAATTTTCACTAAAATATTAATTTTGAAATAAGATCTTCTAATCTATTGCAGCTATCATTATCATTGTCATATAAACATTGCCATTGTCCAAAGTCTCATCCATAATGATCTTTTAAGGTTATTTTTTAGTTTGTTTATTGCAGAATTAATATTTCATCTTTTGTTGAGAATGCTTTTGGTAGCTGTCTGATCATGTTGATAAGCCAAATTTGAACCAATTTACCTGCCAATGGTGTTTTCCAATCTAATCTACATCCAGCACATTAGCAGTCCAAACTAGGGTCTGTACAAGTGTTGGTCATAGCTTCATACCATTTCTTCCCACACTTGTTTCTGCTGGAGACAATGTTTCCATGCATATAGTCAACAGAGTATATAAAAAGTCACAGTGAGTAGACTCCAGCTTATCCATTTGTTGTTCATTGTATAAATTTTATTCTCATCGTTGGTATTAACATGCAGGTTGCTGCCATCTCATTGTTTATGTAAGTTTCTTCCCATAGATTATTCTAAGCCATTCACACGGTGTAGTTGTTATGACTATGTTTTGTGGTAGGTAGTGAGGCAGGGGTTGGGCTCTCTAGGAAGTAATCATAATCGGAGGCCAGGTGGGAATAACTTGCGTCCTTGAATGATAAAATACAGAAGAACATGGTCATAACGAACACTGATATAACATACTGTTATAAAAATGCAAAAGTCCTGACTGCTTTACAATATGTTGTAATATAAAATTCATTGTAACAAATTTTGTGTAATGAATTAATGGATATAACAAACTGATGTTTCATTGCAAGAAGTAAACTCAATATTCCCGTGTGAATTAATGATGTGGTCAAACTCGTGTCCGTCACCACCAGAGGGGAATCAAACGACATACTTGGAAGGGAATCATGATCACTACAGTTCACCTACGGGGCGGTCGGGTAGCCTAGTGGTTAAAGCGTTAGCTCGTCACGCCGAAGACCCGGGTTCGATTCCCGACATGGGTACAATGTGTGAAGCCCATTTCTGGTGTCCCCCGCCGTGATATTGCTGGAATATTGCTAAAAGCGGCGTAAAACCATACTCACTCACTCACTCACTACAGTTCACCTACAGATTGGTGAGGCTCAGCTGCAATCAGTGGAGAATCAATTCTGCAGTTTCACAGTACATTGTTGCAACCCATGTGTTAAAACTAATCAATGGTTAAAAAGCAATCACTTGAATTATATTTGAATTTTGAATTGTCTCGTGTGCACATTTATTTCAAGCAGTGTCAAACTTTCTGAAATAATCAGAGATGGCCGCAAAGATGACATCCCCATTCATGTCACATGACACGCTCTTCCAACTTAATTCTAGTGCTGTAATGTGTGTTTCTTATATTATCATATTGTTACCATTTGAGACTACCAACAAGTTGATATGAACCCAGACTGAAAATACGCCCACAATCTCTTGCACATATTGAAGTTAAATGGTTCTTTACAATCCATGGTATTCAATCAAGTCTTTGCCTACAGAACTCTGAATGATATAATGAATGGTGAGGCAAGCCAATATACAAATCTACGGATATTACAAACAAGTTTGTTTCATCAATCCCTTGGAGTTCGTTATAACCATGTTTTACTGTATTAGGGACTACCAACATTTCCTACCTTTTGACAAATCACTATTTAGTGTGCTATAGACATACAGGAAAGGTTACAAGCCTCCTATAACACAAATAGTTGTTCAGACATGCTGTATCAACCAACATGTATGGCTGTAATCTTGTCTTGTAACTGGTATTATGATATAACTGTGTTATAGTATGTCACAGTTCCCCCCCCCAGTCTAACACATCTCAGAGACAGGAATGCAACTTACCCTGAAATATTTATACCTTTAATATTGGTCAAATGGACTCTGGCTAGCAGGCTAGTGACAACTGCATCCCTGTCGAGATTCTTTAGAATACATTTACCAAAAACATGGAACTGTGAGAAGGAATCTGTGTGATAAAAGGTGCATTCCAAAGGGTAGTTATTTGGCCTTGCTTGGGGAATATGTTATTAAGAATAGAATAATACATACCTCCAGACTTTCTCATGATTTGGCACATTAACAGTTTCATTGTAGTATGTTTTTGGAAAGTATGCCTACCACATTTATTTCTGTTGTTTGGTGTGATTAATGATGGCTGTCTTGAGTATGTGGGTTTAAGATGGAATGTGAATGACCGTGAAGCTGAAGTGTTTGCAATGACTTGAACAATATGGGCTATGAATATTGATAGAACTCTGTTTTCTTTAACAGTCAACAAAGAACAAGTTAGGTCTTTCTGCAGAGAACTGCATGTACTCTTGTATCTTTATTGGGAAAATATATTTGTCTCTGGTCATGCCAACAAGAATTTAATGCAGGAAGACTTAAATTAATGATAAATAAGTGCTATCAGATCTGTTTATATTCATTGAACTTTTGTCATTATGTACTTTATATTCGAATATGTGATATTTGATTGAAGATAAAATTTAGAAATTGTCAATTATTTTTAATCACCCTTGAAAAACGTTTTTGTATTAACTGGGATTTAATGTAATTTTCTAGATGAGTTAAAAATTATTAAACATTCACGTAATAAGAATTGAAGATAACATTATTAGTTGTTACATGAAACCTGTGATCTACAACACAGTTATGGGTGGAATGGACTGGCATCTTTGTTTTGGCTGTTGAGCCCATTTCAGGTGTTGCTGGATGTGTGTGTTGGAATATTGCTAAAGCAGCATAAAACCCAACTCACTCTCTTTGTTTGGAGTGAAACAACATAGTGTCCAACATATCCAAGTCTAATAAGCTTTTGTGATGTCAAGAACTTGGTTTTAGTGTGTGGGGAAGGATGTCCATAACAATCGAGTTACTCATTCACCCATAACTGAAGTAGATCTTCCTATATCGGAAATCTGGGGATCTGTCAGAAATGTTAACTATTCTAAATACTGGGACTACTTTGACCTCTTGTAAGGAAATGTATATTCTTGAAGCATAAAAAAATGAAACATTTGTCCTGCGTTTGTCATTTACGATGCCTGATAGTGCCAGAACTCTGTCATGGTCATCACGCCTCAGTTGAAAGGCAAACAGGCAATTTGCAAGATTGACATCCACTGCCATAAACTCGGAGATGGACATGGTATGAGTGCCAGACATCCATCTTTCTGTCCAATAAAGACGTTGTTCTCAAGATAAGAAAAATTGAAATATCCAAAATAAATATCTTCATTCAATTTGGTAATGGAAAGACCGACCAAGTAGAACGGACATATTTCATTAAAGAATACAAAAGTTTATTGTTAATAATATCCCGATAACATGGGAAATGGCTTCTGGTTGCAATTAGCACAACGGATACTACTGCTACTGCCCAAACGAAACGCCTGCATAATTTAAAGATAACAAAAACAAGCTAAGACTGGAGGCACGGTGGGCATGACTTCTGTGTCGAGCCGAATAGGTAACCTAGGGTGTCGTATTGTTGGTAACCCAAGATGATCAAAAATTGAATAGATCATCATTGTATGTCACTCTCTCAAGGTGTTGCTTTCCATGTTTACTGCGTTGAAACTGCACACTGGTTTTGTCTGTTTGCGTCCTGCCATGGTGGTGTGTGACGTGCTTCAGGGATGCCCCGTCTCTGGTGGAAATATTGCTGTCTTTCATCCTCATGCTATCAGTGCATGTATTCGAAACTTTGGCCACGATACTGTCAGCAGATGTGTCCGACCTCTTGGCGTTGACCCTTTCGCTGGACTCTTTGGCTCTGACATTAGGTGGATGAGATTTTACGCCTTCTGGGCGAATCTTCCTCAAACATCCCTTGCTATCATGAAATATAACCTCACCATGTTTTTGTCTGAGTTTGGCAAAATATTCTTTTTCAAATTTCTGTTGTTGTTTTATGCATATATTTTGCAGGAACAAGATGTCTTTGACGACCGCGCTCCGTTTCTCCTTGACATTGGAGTACACCACAGACTCGTGGTCCAGCTGCCGCTCATACATGCTCCTTAGGTCTGAAGACAAACGTGGCCTTAGTTAGCATAGTCTTAGGTACCCACACGGAGGCCCATTCGCACCACCACCAATATTCAGAAACAACACTGAAAAAATCCCATTCGTAGTCGCACATTCAATGGCATGCGTGCTTGTGGGTTATTTGAGAAATATTAATGTTAAAGAAACCGTCTAGAGTATTGAAGTAATGTTGATTATTCAGTAAAACAAAACTCTAAAGTTCATATCAGCTTTCTCCAGCACTGTGAAGTGATTGAAATAGACATCCAAGTAGTTCTAACGATGTCTTATTGGCTGACAATCTCTTATTACAACTAAATTTCACTGATGTGAGACCATAAATCAATCAAATATCTTCTAAACAACCAAGAGTTTCATTGTCGAATAAAGTATACAATAGGTTGGTTGCATGCTGCAGGTTTTCTATTAGAATAGCCACAGTGAAAATAAAACTTTTGGTAGATGACACAGTTACGAATGTTGTAATTCACCCATCTCATTATATTATCGGATTATGGAAGACAACGCAATGAAAACAGCTTGAACTGTTCTAACTCACTTTTCATGGACTTGAGATCTGTATCAAGATGTCTTACTTTGAGACGACACTCAGCCAGGGACCTCTTCAGCATGTCGCCTCCCGCGTTGGTACTAGCCTCGTTGTTGCCCCGCCGTAGTTCCCGCATCTCGCCCTTCAAGTTCTGAATCTGAAAGTTCAGCATCTCGTTGAAGGATCGCTGGTACTGGTACCTGAAACCAACTTGTCTCAGTACTAGGCCCAGTGCCACAAGATATTATTCAGCATCTGCATGACTGCAAATTTATCAAAAAGTGTGTTGTTGTGGGTTCGAATCCCGGTTCGCCCCGATAATGTTTCTAGGTTTGTCAGCGCTATACCCGTGCTCTTGGGTTTCACCGAGGTGGTAAACGTCTGAGATCTGCATCACTTCGGGCTTTCCTCCCACATTAAGCTGACACGCCGCGATATAACTGGAATACTGTTAGAGGCGGCGTTAAACCCAGCTCACTCACTCACTCACTCCTATTTCCCTGGCGTTATACCAAGATCACTCCTATTTCTTTTTATATCGTAACGGTGTAGCATATGTATGTAGATGATCATAGTTTATGTTAACACTAAGACTTCCATGTGGATATATCATGTAGTGTTTATTGTGTCCTACAAGCAAAGCTTTATACATGAACCGCAACTGATGATACTCAAAAATGAAGATATTGCCAAATTTAAATGGCCCAACCATGTAACGTCTATCATAGAGAAAGTTTTAAAAAATGTTCCATCCATCAGAAGATTAAACTGTGCTTCAAAGTGTATATAATGTATGTAGGACATATTTTTTAATATAAGTCAGTAGAATGGGACAGCGATACACATTTATGGTTCTTATTACGAGCAGCAAGGATTGTCACAGGTTTACCTGAGTTTCACCGAAATCTCGCCAATGTTGTGACACTGGTTGGCTGCCTTTAGGTTCTAGAGGAAGATGTTATGACAGCGTTGTACATTTCACAAAGTTATCAACAAACGGGCACAGGGTTATCTTCAAGATTTACTTTCTCTTACAAAGGAATTTTTGTCTAATAGTAATCTAAGATCTAGAGATAAAACTTATTTTACAATTCCTAAAGCTAAAACTAATACACTCCAAAATTCTTCTCTTCAAAAACGCGTGCGTGTGTGTGTGTGGTTGTTGTTTCAAGCCAAAAAATCCCTTAGTTTCATGGTGCTCGATTTTATTCATCATATACTTTCTCCATATTTTATGCTACATTTGTAAATACACTTTCTAATTTACATTTTAATGATGATGTTTATATGTGGGATGTATTTCTGGAAAGGGTCCAGAAAGCAAGAAGTGTTTTTCCCAATCCAGATTGACAAGTCAATACAAATATGTTTAAATCATTTCGAATTTCGTCTTTTTAATTTCTTAGTTGAGACAAAATGTGTGACTAGCGTACAGTTTTGGGTACGAATGTATAGCTAATACCACAACCGGTGTCTGAAAGATGAACTCGGGTCGGGGCGCATAGTCTCTGCCATAGAACTGTTCGCGAAAGTACATGTGTCTCAAAGTTCATTTACAATACCTGATTCTCCATTCAACTTCTTCCTGTTCTCTCTGGTTGTTGATCACGAGACCCTCCCGCACGATGTTCCTCCACTGGTTGGCTGAGACATGTAATGTCCGTGCGGACTCACGTTCCCAGTGCAGCTCCCTCCGCAATTTCTGGATGGCCCGGATGTCATCCTCCCCATCTTCCTCCTCCATACTCACACCATCGCTCAGGGAGAAAGATTTGGGGTGAAGAGGTGTCAAATGAGACCTTACGCCGATTCTGCTGATTATGACGTCACAATAATGAAGTCGCGTGACGTCGTATACGATGTCATAATTATGAGGACTTGAGTTTAGGTTTTCTTTAATATATTCAATACAATAAAAACAATAAATGATTTCATTATGTAATACGTTTCATAATAATGTACGAAGACGTAAAAAATGAAACACACGCTAAAAAGAGGGGATTTGAACTTTAAACAGCTAATCCGGTCGCACTCGTAGGAACACAAGTTCATTTACCCAGTTCGTTTAGAGTTACGTCCCTTTCAATAACAGGAAGATTTCCGCACATCTACTGCATGTGTCTTTACTGTAGGATTCAGCGCCGGAGGCTGGGTGGCCTCAGCGGAACCAACTTCTGCTTGTCCAGCTATCTGAATGACATGACTTTCGACTGTAGATTACTGACAAATGTTTTCCCTGTTTACAGAAACGAGGTGAGGGCGTATCTTGTCATCACGTGCCATTGTTTTGGTTGTCACAAAGACGTATATAGAATATATACGTCCGTGGTTGTCACAAGACATCTGAGTCGGCTGATTGTGAAAAATCTATAGACTGATATAAACCTGTGCAGGGACCACTGATCTTTATTATTCATTGACATTGATTCAGCCACATAATTTTAACAAACATATTTCAGTCGCATTTATTATTCAAAGAGTATGAAGTTAACCAATTGGGCAATTGCAATTCAAAATTCAAATGTGTTTTATTTTTTTATCCATATTATGTTGCCGTTTATTAATTAAGGAACACTATTTCAGTTGTTAGTTTAACTTGAACATCATGATAAGTTCATAATACATTTCTCCATATATCAAAACAAAAGAATTCAAATAATTAACATAATGATTACCAATGAGACATGGTATTAATATTATATGACAGTTTGTCTTTTCACAAAATTCATCTGTTCTGTATCATGAAGGTATTTGAAGATGTGGTCAAGCGCTGTACATATGGTCAACTTGGACAGATGTGGCTACTCCCCGGTCATCTGTTCCTCACATCCAAATCCAGACTGAAAGTGTTCAGCTTTGACTTCATCCCTGCCAGTAGACAACAGGCAAGGCTCCATGTGGCTCCATTTTAGTCTATTTGTGCATAATAATGAGACAAGGAGCCTTTTTGCTTGTAAGATTCTCATGAATTGATTGATAGGCATTACTTAGAAGTTGACAGATGACAAAGTACACACAATTTAAGGATAACAACTTCTTTAATTACTGTAAAGGCGACGTTTCGGTATAGATCCTTATAACATTGTCAAGAACATGGTACAGAATATATATAGTAGGTGGAGGATTAACAATAACAACAATTGCATGTATGAGTGGGATAACATGAGTTGGTTAAGTAATGACAACATGTTCATGCAACAAAGTATGTGTAGAGGATTAACTATTTACTCTCTCCTCTCTGACTTTGAATGGAATCATTTCGATATATTCGCTATATTAAGAATTACATTTAAAAAAATCACCCCTAGATAACTTCTGATTTAACTATCTGTAAAGCCGGTGGAGGTGACTGTAGATGATAGCGGGTTCTGAAATATATAGACAATATATAAATGTGACTATGTGTAAACAATTGATGTATTAGGGTTTTTTCCAATAGTAGTGCAAGGGAATTATTACTGACATTGTCACTAAGTTTCAGCTTGTCAAGTTACACATTTTGAAGTTTTTGTTTTTGTCAGTATCATAGATTTAATCATATGTTAATGGTGATTACTGTTATGTTTTTAAAAATATCTTATATTGGTCCCCAAATCATGCTAGACATTCCTAATTACTTCAATTTTGAGTTGGCACCTCTATGTGTACTGTGCATACCATGTACTCTTGACATAGAAATATTTCATTTACATGTAGTGTGAAGATTATAACACAAAACACACACTGATGCACACCACTGAGGAGGATGTAACTGTTGGTGTGTGCACAGGGTGTGTCTCACTATTATAACAACTGATTATGTAAACATACTTAAAGGTTCAGTGATTATTAATTACTACCATTCAGCATTAGAAATTGACACTGGTCCTGTAGTCCTTGCCAAACGCCCAACTGGTGGAAAATTGCCATTTTTAAGGGTTTTGCTATTATCATTATAAAGACTTGTGTACTTAAAATGTTGGTTTCTGCCTATTATTGAAGTGATCACATCCCAGTCACGACACGACATTGAAGTGATAGTTCAAGATGAGTTTATTCCCGTAGCTTACATGTGTGACCCTTGACATGTGCTCTCCCCCAATGTCCATGCCTGGATCTCCAACCCATGCTTGTCGCAAGAGGCGACTATGCTTGTCGTTAGAGGCAACTAACAGGATTGGATGGAAAGGGTGCATGGTTGATGCATCATTGTATCCCATTTGCGTGGATTGATGCTCATGACATTAATCACTGGATTGTCTGGTCAAGATTCGATTATTTACAGACTGCCGTCATATAGCTGGAATGTTACTGAGTGCGGCGTTAAACAACAAACAAACAAACTAACACAATATCTATCACTTGATTTTCTGGTCCACACTCAATTATTTACAGGCCGTTGTCATATTGCTACAATATTGCTTAGTGTAACATTTAACAACAAGCAAACAAACACTACAAATTGTTGACTTATTTAAAAGCCTATCTAAATAAGACAATTAAGAACTCCCAAAGAACTCATCAATAGAACATATGAACAAGATTAATTCTGAAGGTTAATGTCTGATTAAGGTGACTGGACTAGTTCATATTCCATGTGTGAGCATTCTCTGCCACTAGTTTTGAGTAGTGCGACTGAGAGTGAATCACACAGGCTGCCTCCCATTAGCTCCATTGAACTGCATGTGATTGTTAACCCTGTGAACATCAAGGCAAACACCAATTCTTCACCACAGCTGATCATGCAGTGTGGATAAAAAGGAGACAATCTCATTAAAATCAGATCTTAGTTCTCGCTATCGCTAAACAAAGATCTGAGGACATCCCATTTTACGGGTTACGTCAGAATGACCTTTCATCCGACCAATCAAAGCGTCGCTTACCAGATCATGAAAGTGACAGTCGGAATGTGATTTCTAATCATGCAACCTCGAAAACGTTAACACGGGGTATTCTGAACGACAGTTACGGTCCGCACGACTGATTCCGTCAAATTCTTGCCTATCTCTCGCTTCTGTGGGATAAACATTTGAACGTAGGAGGCGTTGCACAGTATGTGGGAAGCACTGCCATACAATCACAACGATATTTAGACATCCCGGAATGTTCGTTTGTTCAGTTTTCCAAATTTTAATCGAGAACTGTGTCGACATATTTTTCAAGCGCAGCCTGAAATGGAAGTTGCCAGGTTGAAACAAGTGCTGTAAAGCTCGAGAAAGCTGCTATCTAATTGGCTGATGTCGACTTCTTGTTAGTTGTTTCGGTGGTTGGTCAAAGTTCGCGAAAGGTCGTTGTGACACGACCCGTAATGGGTTGTCCTCATATCTTTGTTTAGCGGGAGCGAGAACTTAGGTCTGATTTTAATGAGATTGAAAAAGCGATTGTTTCATTCTTGTGTGTCCTCCTGATTTTACACAACTCATGTTGCATGTAGTTGCTGAGTGAGAATTCTGAAACTATTTTTCATAAAATCAGTGAGACACACATACACTTTTAAAATAATCCCTGTAGAGTTGCATGTCTCATAAGATGCTCACTTGTGTGATATGTGATGTTGTTTGTGTAGATTTCTGACACTGGACCACTTGGGTTCTACTACCAGTCCATGACTTCCCCCATCCTGGATGTACTGGACCCTGGCATCTACCCCCACACAGTCTTCATGGTGAGAACCAACTGCTGGATGCTTCATAACAGACGTACAATCAAGAGATCAGTGTCTCGTGTGAGCTTATGTCATGGTGTTGGTTCAGCATAAACCTCTAGATCTCCCACTGACCTGACTGAACGTCAAGGGAGCTTATGTCATGGTGTTGGTTCACCATAAACCTCTAGATCTCCCACTGACCTGACTTAAAGTCAAGGGAGCTTATGTCATGGTGTTGGTTCACCATAAACCTCTAGATCTCCCACTGACCTGACTAAAGTCAAGGGAGCTTATGTCATGGTGTTGGTTCACCATAAACCTCTAGATCTTTCACTGCTGACTAAAGTCAAGGGAGCTCATGTCATGGTGTTGGTTCAGCATAAACCTCTAGATCTCCCACTGATGACTAAAGTCAAGGGAGCTCATGTCATGGTGTTGGTTCAGCATAAACCTCTAGATCTCCCACTGACCTGACTGAACGTCAAGGGAGCTTATGTCATGGCCTGATTGTCCGGATCCATCTCAAGCATCTGTAAACATCTTCTCCTCTGAGGCCACTGGCTCCATGAAGCTACCATCAATGATGACACCCCATGGAAGATATTGAAATTGGATTTTTAGTGTTGCTGACACAGGGGCCATACTAAAATACCTAGTTATGGCCATTATGGTATTTAGAGTTTGATCTTATTTTGACCTTTGTGTTTTGACCATGCTGTTAAATTCTCTGCTAAAAGGCTCTGTAAACATCTCTCAAAATGCCAGATTGAGGAAGCTGAACTTTGGCATGAATGTTTGGCGGCAGTATTTATGCAGAAAATATTTGAATGTCAATGTTGACTGCAACTTTTGCCAGAGTAAGCTGTTGTCTACATGTCCTGGTGATCTAAACAGCTGTGTTGAGCTACAGTGATGTGTTGAGCTACAGTGATGTGCTGAGCTACAGTGATGTGTTGAGCTACAGTGCTGTGCTGAGCTGCAGTGATGTGTTGAGGTGCTGTGCTGAGCTGCAAGGATTTGCTGAGCTGAGCTACAGTGATGTGCTGAGCTACAATGATGTGTTGAGGTGCAGAGCTGTGCTGAGCTACAGTGGTGTGTTGAGCTACAGTGATGTGCTGAGCTACAGTGATGTGCTGAGCTACAGTGATGTGCTGAGCTACAGTGGTGTGTTGAGCTACAGTGCTATGCTGAGCTACAGTGATGTGCTGAGCTACAATGATGTGTTGAGGTGCAGAGCTGTGCTGAGCTACAGTGCTGTGTTGAGCTACAGTGATGTGCTGAGCTACAGTGAAGTGCTGAGCTACAGTGATGTGCTGAGCTACAGTAGTGTGTTGAGCTACAGTGATGTGCTGAGCTACAGTGATGTGCTGAGCTACAGTGGTGTGTTGAGCTACAGTGATGTGCTGAGCTACAGTGATGTGCTGAGCTACAGTGCTATGCTGAGCTACAGTGCTATGCTGAGCTACAGTGATGTGCTGAGCTACAGTGCTATGCTGAGCTACAGTGATGTGCTGAGCTACAGTGCTATGCTGAGCTACAGTGATGTGCTGAGCTACAGTGGTGTGTTGAGCTACAGTGATGTGCTGAGCTACAGTGCTATGCTGAGCTACAGTGATGTGCTGAGCTACAGTGGTGTGTTGAGCTACAGTGATGTGCTGAGCTACAGTGCTATGCTGAGCTACAGTGATGTGCTGAGCTACAGTGATGTGCTGAGCTGCAGTGATGTGCTGAGCTACAGTGCTATGCTGAGCTACAGTGATGTGCTGAGCTACAGTGATGTGCTGAGCTACAGTGGTGTGTTGAGCTGCAGTGATGTGCTGAGCTACAGTGCTATGCTGAGCTACAGTGATGTGCTGAGCTACAGTGATGTGCTGAGCTGCAGTGATGTGCTGAGCTACAGTGATGTATTGAGTTGTAGTGATGTGATGTCACAAAAGTCTGGTCTGACTAATGACAAGGCTTTCTTGACAATAAATCTGATCTGCAATGGTGTAACTGACATATTGTTCTTGTGTGAGACTCATTTAGCTTGTGTGCTGCTTCATAAGAACATGAGGTAAAAACATGTTGAAAAAGGTTTTCTATTATCCCCTGCCACAAAGCTGGAAGGGTATTATAGGAATGGATGCTGTCCATCCCTCCTTTCCCAATATCGTTACCCTGACAAAAGTTAGCCAATATATCAGAACATTGGAGTGATCCCTGCAGGGACTCCTAATGCACTAAAAATACACATCAAGTTTGAAAATTAGAGTTATCGCATCACAATTTACATTGTTCTGGAATGTCATTAAACAGAATGATAAATCACTCTCTGAATTGTTGATGCTTCATTCCGATAGCTAAAAGTCCACTATTCAATAATAGTCATTATCATCATATGCCACATCAAGCTATTGTGCATTGTCAAATATCTCCATTCTGTTAGTACTACGATTTATTCCCTGGACCTGCTTGTTGTTATAGCTTAGCTTTGGAAGCGGTGAGCCCGGGGCAGTTACCATAACAGAAGGCTGATATAAGACACTGCATAATCGAGGATGACTAATATGTTTGGGGATGCATCATATGTTTTCTGTATTAAATTAAAAATGATTCAATACAGTGCTCTAAACAAACTAATATTATAGGGATTACCTGTGCAACATAATAGGATTCGGGGGAGATGTTAACATTATTATATTAGCACTGATGAACTGAATGGTTCAGTATCATTTCATGCTGTGTGAAAACAGTGTGATAGGAATGTTGCCACATACATGCTGAGACTTAGGGATGGCTGTGTACAGAACCCTGTGCAGTACTGTGACTCCTGTGCCCCCAGGTGCAGAGAAGCGGCCATGTGCAGTGCTGGAAGTTTGATGAGGAGTACATGTGGTCAGTCTACGCTGAGTTTGACCTGTGCAACGCCACGGCTGGTGCGGAGGTGGTCAGCGTGTGCATGGACCCAGTACACAAGTGCATCTACTGGTGTGAGAGGAGGGCCGCCACGGATTCAGCTACATACTGCATCTGCAAGAGGACTCTACCAGATGGTACGGTAGTAAAGTAAATGGTGCTGTAGTAGATGGTGCTGTTGTGTTGTAAATGACGCTGTAGTATAGTAGATGGTGCTGTAGTATAGTAGATGGTGCTGTAGTATAGTAGATGGTGCTGTAGTGTAGTAGATGGTGCTGTAGTATAGTAGATGGTGCTATAGTATAGTAGATGTTGCTGTAGTGTAGTAGATGGTGCTGTAGTATAGTAGATGGTGCTGTAGTATAGTAGATGGTGCTGTAGTATAGTAGCTCTAGTGTAGTAGATGGTGCTGTTTTATAGTAGATGGTGCTGTTGTATAGTAGATTGTGCTGTACTATAGTAGATGGTGCTCTAGTGTAGTAGATGGTGCTGTTTTATAGTAGATGGTGCTGTTGTATAGTAGCTGGTGCTGTAGCATAGTAGATGGTGCTGTAGTATAGTAGATGGTGCTGTAGTGTAGTAGATGGTGCTGTAGTATAGTAGATGGTGCTGTTTTATAGTAGATGGTGCTGTAGTATAGTAGATGGTGCTGCAGTGTAGTAGATGGTGCTGTTTTATAGTAGATGGTGCTGTTGTATAGTAGATGGTGCTGTAGTGTAGTAGATGGTGCTGTAGTGTAGTAGATGTTCCTGTTGTATAGTAGATGGTGCTGTAGTGCAGTAGATGGTGCTGTAGTGTAGTAGATGGTGCTGTTTTATAGTAGATGGTGCTGTTGTATAGTAGATGGTGCTCTAGTGTAGTAGATGCTGCTGTAGTATAGTAGATGTTCCTGTAGTATAGTAGATGGTGCTGTAGTGTAGTAGATGGTGCTGTTTTATAGTAGATGGTGCTGTTGTATAGTAGCTGGTACTGTAGCATAGTAGATGGTGCTGTAGTATAGTAGATGGTGCTGTAGTGTAGTAGATGGTGCTGTAGTATAGTAGATGGTGCTGTTTTATAGTAGATGGTGCTGTAGTATAGTAGATGGTGCTGCAGTGTAGTAGATGGTGCTGTTTTATAGTAGATGGTGCTGTTGTATAGTAGATGGTGCTGTAGTGTAGTAGATGGTGCTGTAGTGTAGTAGATGTTCCTGTAGTATAGTAGATGGTGCTGTAGTGCAGTAGATGGTGCTGTAGTGTAGTAGATGGTGCTGTTTTATAGTAGATGGTGCTGTTGTATAGTAGATGGTGCTCTAGTGTAGTAGATGCTGCTGTAGTATAGTAGATGTTCCTGTAGTATAGTAGATGGTGCTGTAGTGTAGTAGATGGTGCTGTTTTATAGTAGATGGTGCTGTAGTATAGTAGATGGTGCTGTAGTGTAGTAGATTGTGCCGTAGTATAGTAGATGGCTCTGTAGTATAGTAGATGGTGCTGTAGTATAGTAGATGGTGCTGTAGTATAGTAGATGGTGCTGTAGTGTAGTAGATGGTGCTGTAGTATAGTAGATGGTGCTGTAGTGTAGTAGATGGTGCTGTAGTATAGTAGATGGTGCTGTAGTATAGTAGATGGTGCTGTAGTATAGTAGATGGTGCTGTTTTATAGTAGGTGGTGCTGTAGTATAGTAGATGGTGCTGTAGTATAGTAGATGGTGCTGTAGTATAGTAGTTTGTGCTGTAGTGTAGTAGATGGTGCTGTAGTATAGTAGATGGTGCTGTTTTATAGTAGATGGTGCTGTAGTATAGTAGATGGTGCTGTAGTATAGTAGATGGTGCTGTTGTATAGTAGATGGTGCTGTAGTATAGTAGATGTTGCTGTAGTATAGTAGATGGTGCTGTAGTATAGTAGATGGTGCTGGAGAAGATGTTGCTGTAGTATAGTAGATGGTGCTGTAGTATAGTAGATGGTGCTATAGAAGATGTTGCTGTAGTATAGTAGATATTGCTGTAGTATAGTAGATGGTGCTGTAGTATAGTAGATGGTGCTGTAGAAGATGTTGCTGTAGTATAGTAGATGGTGCTGTAGTATAGTAGATGGTGCTGTAGTGTAGTAGATGGTGCTGTAGTATAGTAGATGGTGCTGTAGTGTAGTAGATGGTGCTGTAGTATAGTAGATGGTGCTGTAGAAGATGTTGCTGTAGTATAGTAGATGGTGCTGTAGTATAGTAGATGGTGCTGTAGTGTAGTAGATGGTGCTGTAGTATAGTAGATGGTGCTGTAGTGTAGTAGATGGTGCTGTAGTATAGTAGATGGTGCTGTAATGTAGTAGATGGTGCTGTTGTATAGTAGATGGTGCTGTAGAAGATGTTGCTGTAGTATAGTAGATGGTGCTGTAGTATAGTAGATGGTGCTGTAGTATAGTAGATGGTGCTGTAGTATAGTAGATGGTGCTGTAGAAGATGTTGCTGTAGTATAGTAGATGTTGCTGTAGTATAGTAGATGGTGCTGTAGTGTAGTAGATGGTGCTGTAGTATAGTAGATGGTGCTCTAGTGTAGTAGATGGTGCTGTATTAATGTTGTAGCAAGATCTTTTGGATCAAGGAATCTTTTCAGCATTTTGGCTGTATATTGCAATGGGGAGCTGAGAATGGTAAAGTCAGCTACTTTATGTTCCAGACCTAGCAAAGGTGAAGAGTAAAGACATTGGCCCCGTGCACGCCCTGGTGCACAACTGTCCGCCCAGCGACGTCTACGTCATCACAGACAACATCCTCATATCATCCAGGTGCAGGAATGCAATGACTGTTATAGGAATGTCAGTTTGGGAATACATATAGAAGTATGATAAGGGACTCTTTTGAGGCACTCCAATTGGAAAATATCAATGATGGGTCAACAATGGTCAGACCTTACAACAAATGTTATTGAAGTTATTGTAAGTGTTCATATGAACAATGACTAGGTTTGTTTTCTGTCCATAACCTGCAAGTACAGGAGTCAAATTTGTTGATAGTTTTTTTTTCAAACTTTGAGCAACTTCTTTTCCCCAATGTGCACCTTCCTACCTGCTGACGACACCTTAACACTCTCGTGGACTAGGAAGACATTCGGCATGGAATGAGGTCGGTTGTCACCAAACAAGTGGGTGTTGCCCATGCTATCTGCCACTGGTTTTCCTAGCCAAGACTTATAGAAGATACAACTGGAATATTGATGACTGCAGTGTAAACAAAGTTCACTCATTTACTCCATCTTCTAAATATCATCTTGACCAAGTGAACATATTTTTTCCATACTTCCAGGCCAGATGATGGATCTGTCCACTTTATTCTGTGGCTGAACATCGAGAAGCATCATGTCACCATGTTCATTGGTGGAGAGAAATTAGAGACAGAGTTATCTCCCCTTCCATCAGTGGATTTCAGGACTGTTCTGGTCCAGTGTCTGCCAGCCATTGCGAAGGTGAGAACCTTCATGACCAAAACATGCATGCACTATCCAGAAACAATTATGACTTTAACAGGATGTGCTTTGCCCAGTAAACTTTTTTCTGAAAGGTTTTAATCGCATCTGCTTTTGGATTAAGCCTGTTCTTGCCTGCTTGACCTAATGTCAAAATTAAACTTTCAAATAAAGGCCCCCTTTTCTTAATTTTCTAAGCTTATCAAATGCAGTGTTACAACTTATCCCTGGCTGCCTTAGTTACTGGTGTTGATGTGAGGTCACTTCAAGACAGTGATCTAGACACTTGTGGAATGCATGTTTCTGTGATGGTGTTGTTTCAGAGTGGCCAGTACAGTGGCAGGGTATATGTCCAGCTTGACCCACAGAGATGTCAGGTGGCGACACTGCAGGAAGATGGGAAACTGTACAGATACCACACTATGGATGGTTGGTGGCACTTGAATTACTTAACGTCTTGTACAGAGGAATTGAATCATGGATAAGTGCACAGCCAGTGTGTTACTTCCCAAAGATGTTTCATTGACACCTTATGATTGACACAGATGCCAGTGATGTGATCACCTGCACGATGACCCAATTCCCAGACCTCTCCGATGTACAGCTGGAGGCTGACAACTGGTTCCTCACACAGACCGTCTTTGGCATCAGGACTGGCAACAAACTCAGGTAGGGTGAGACTGGGTCTTTTCCTTGATTTCTCTATATACTGTGTACCAGGGTCACAGTGGAGAAGCGGAAGATAAGACATGGTCCCTTACCTTGATTTCTCCATATACCATGTACCCACAGTGGAGAAGGGGAAGATAAGACAGGGTCCCTTACCTTGATTTCCCCATATACCATGTACCCACAGTGGAGAAGGGGAAGATAAGACAGGGTCCCTTACCTTGATTTCCCCATATACTGTGTACCCACAGTGGAGAAGGGGAACATAAGACATGGTCCCTTACCTTGATTTCCCCATATACCATGTACCCACAGTGGAGAAGGGGAAGATAAGACAGGGTCCCTTACCTTGATTTCCCCATATACCATGTACCCACAGTGGAGAAGGGGAAGATAAGACAGGGTCCCTTACCTTGATTTCCCCATATACTGTGTACCCACAGTGGAGAAGGGGAACATAAGACATGGTCCCCTACCTTGATTTCCCCATATACTGTGTACCCACAGTGGAGAAGGGGAAGATAAAACATGGTCCCTTACCTTGATTTCCCCATATACTGTGTACCCACAGTGGAGAAGGGGAACATAAGACATGGTCCCTTACCTTGATTTCCCCATATACCATGTACCCACAGTGGAGAAGGGGAAGATAAGACAGGGTCCCTTACTGTATATGACCGTGGATAAGCCGACCCTGTAGATAAGCCGAGGTGCTAACTTGACCATTGAAATACGAGAGAAAATGATATGACCCGCAGATAAGCCGAACCAGGAAGTGAAAGGCAAAAAACACTACGAAGTCGGACTGCAAGACACGTGCCGGTACTTGCAGATATTAAAAAATATAAGATGAAAAACGTTGTAATTATATTGAAAAAGTCATTATTATTTCTAATAAAGATTTAACAAACCAGTCATCCACTTTCATAATGTGGGAAGCCGTTTCTCTTGGTAATTTTTAATCTCATAATGATCGTTATATGTTGCCATCAACAACCAAGCGCCATTTTGTGAATCGGTGTATATAGAATTATGAACCCGTGAGAAAATATATCAGCTAGAGCGAAGACTCGCAGTTTGAATTCAGCATCGTAAGCATGGCGTTTTCATTTCAAATTCGTGATGAGATTGTCAGTCAGTAAAAATATACCAACTTTTATAACCCCCTTTACACCACTATTGTATGTTAATCCAATTGAATTAAATAAACTATCATACTATGAACACATTGAATGACCATCACTTACTCACAGGCTTCTCCAGTTTATTAAACTAATCTCTCGAAAACAAAGGAATTAAGCCCCTACTCCCAACACGATCGCTAAGCACCCACAACTTGAAAATGTTTGTGTAAACATGACAATACCAATCAGCCCGTAATTATCGGTGCTCATTTCCTTGTGTACCGTGTTGCTTTTTAAACAACAGGAAGCAATCACAGTGATCACCGTTTGTGACGTCACAGGAAACAGCTGATCACATGTTTTTGCAAATGGCGAACGGAATAACTCGCCGATACAGTTGTTTATTTGCCTCTTTCAATAAAGGTAGACATTTGTTCACTATCAATTTATGAACTTTGCAAAACGTATGTAATAGCTATTGGCGATATCATCAGGGGATTATATATTATAGCTGTGAATTACATATATTGTTACATGTAAAGATTGTGGAGTTTATGAAGAACGATAAACTTTGAACATTCAATTAAAAACTTATTATCGGAAGTAGTAACATGCATAACATTTTTTTAATAATGACAACATTGGTGTATAATAATAACTTTATTGATAATTTATAACAATAATGGCTCTAGTCGTGGCAACTTCCAAACTTTCGGGAAGTTGTAATCTATCGGACCGTCATTCAGGCGATGTTTCTGACAGATCACGATCTGAAAAATACTATCATGAAAGTGTATCCCGTGGATAAGCCGACCCCTTTCTACAGAATCTTTTTTCTGGTCCTTAAAATTCGGCTTATACGCGGTCATATACGGTACCTTGATTTCCCCATATACCGTGTACCCACAGTGGAGAAGGGGAAGATAAGACAGGGTCCCTTTCCTTGATTTCCCCATATACCATGTACCCACAGTGGAGTAGGGGAACATAAGACATGATCCCTTACCTTGATTTCCCCATATACCATGTACCCACAGTGGAGTAGGGGAACATAAGACATGATCCCTTACCTTGATTTCTCCATATACCGTGTACCCACAGTGGAGAAGGGGAACATAAGACATGGTCCCCTACCTTGATTTCCCCATATACCATGTACCCACAGTGGAGAAGGGGAACATAAGACATGGTCCCTTACCTTGATTTCTCCATATACCATGTACCCACAGTGGAGAAGGGGAACATAAGACATGGTCCCTTACCTTGATTTCCCCATATACTGTGTACCCACAGTGGAGAAGGGGAAGATAAGACATGGTCCCTTACCTTGATTTCCCCATATACCATGTACCCACAGTGGAGAAGGGGAAGATAAGACATGGTCCCCTACCTTGATTTCCCCATATACCATGTACCCACAGTGGAGAAGGGGAACATAAGACATGGTCCCTTACCTTGATTTCCCCATATACCATGTACCCACAGTGGAGAAGGGGAACATAAGACATGGTCCCTTACCTTGATTTCTCCATATACCGTGTACCCACAGTGGAGAAGGGGAAGATAAGACATGGTCCCTTACCTTGATTTCCCCATATACTGTGTACCCACAGTGGAGAAGGGGAAGATAAGACATGGTCCCTTACCTTGATTTCCCCATATACTGTGTACCCACAGTGGAGAAGGGGAACATAAGACATGGTCCCTTACCTTGATTTCCCCATATACTGTGTACCCACAGTGGAGAAGGGGAAGATAAGACATGGTCCCTTACCTTGATTTCCCCATATACTGTGTACCCACAGTGGAGAAGGGGAACATAAGACATGGTCCCCTACCTTGATTTCCCCATATACCATGTACCCACAGTGGAGAAGGGGAACATAAGACATGGTCCCTTACCTTGATTTCCCCATATACTGTGTACCCACAGTGGAGAAGGGGAACATAAGACATGGTCCCCTACCTTGATTTCCCCATATACCATGTACCCACAGTGGAGAAGGGGAAGATAAGACATGGTCCCTTACCTTGATTTCCCCATATACTGTGTACCCACAGTGGAGAAGGGGAAGATAAAACATGGCCCTTACCTTGATTTCCCCATATACCATGTACCCACAGTGGAGAAGGGGAAGATAAAACATGGTCCCTTACCTTGATTTCCCCATATACTGTGTACCCAAAGTGGAGAAGGGGAAGATAAAACATGGTCCCTTACCTTGATTTCCCCATATACTGTGTACCCACAGTGGAGAAGGGGAAGATAAAACATGGTCCCTTACCTTGATTTCCCCTTATACTGTGTACCCACAGTGGAGAAGGGGAAGATAAGACATGGTCCCTTACCTTGATTTCCCCATATACTGTGTACCCACAGTGGAGAAGGGGAAGATAAAACATGGTCCCTTACCTTGATTTCCCCATATACTGTGTACCCACAGTGGAGAAGGGGAAGATAAAACATGGTCCCTTACCTTGATTTCCCCATATACTGTGTACCCACAGTGGAGAAGGGGAACATAAGACTTGGTCCCTACCTTGATTTCCCCATATACCATGTACCCACAGTGGAGAAGGGGAAGATAAAACATGGTCCCTTACCTTGATTTCCCCATATACTGTGTACCCACAGTGGAGAAGGGGAAGATAAAACATGGTCCCTTACCTTGATTTCCCCATATACTGTGTACCCACAGTGGAGAAGGGGAAGATAAAACATGGTCCCTTACCTTGATTTCCCCATATACCATGTACCCACAGTGGAGAAGGGGAACATAAGACATGGTCCCTTACCTTGATTTCCCCATATACTGTGTACCCACAGTGGAGAAGGGGAAGATAAAACATGGTCCCTTACCTTGATTTCCCCATATACCATGTACCCACAGTGGAGAAGGGGAACATAAAACATGGTCCCTTACCTTGATTTCCCCATATACTGTGTACCCACAGTGGAGAAGGGGAAGATAAAACATGGTCCCTTACCTTGATTTCCCCATATACTGTGTACCCACAGTGGAGAAGGGGAACATAAGACATGGTCCCTTACCTTGATTTCCCCATATACTGTGTACCCACAGTGGAGAAGGGGAAGATAAAACATGGTCCCTTACCTTGATTTCCCCATATACCATGTACCCACAGTGGAGAAGGGGAAGATAAAACATGGTCCCTTACCTTGATTTCCCCATATACTGTGTACCCACAGTGGAGAAGGGGAACATAAGACATGGTCCCTTACCTTGATTTCCCCATATACCATGTACCCACAGTGGAGAAGGGGAAGATAAAACATGGTCCCTTACCTTGATTTCCCCTTATACTGTGTACCCACAGTGGAGAAGGGGAAGATAAGACATGGTCCCTTACCTTGATTTCCCCTTATACTGTGTACCCACAGTGGAGAAGGGGAAGATAAGACATGGTCCCTTACCTTGATTTCCCCTTATACTGTGTACCCACAGTGGAGAAGGGGAAGATAAGACATGGTCCCTTACCTTGATTTCCCCATATACTGTGTACCCACAGTGGAGAAGGGGAAGATAAAACATGGTCCCTTACCTTGATTTCCCCTTATACTGTGTACCCACAGTGGAGAAGGGGAAGATAAGACATGGTCCCTTACCTTGATTTCCCCTTATACTGTGTACCCACAGTGGAGAAGGGGAAGATAAGACATGGTCCCTTACCTTGATTTCCCCTTATACTGTGTACCCACAGTGGAGAAGGGGAAGATAAAACATGGTCCCTTACCTTGATTTCCCCTTATACTGTGTACCCACAGTGGAGAAGGGGAAGATAAGACATGGTCCCTTACCTTGATTTCCCCATATACTGTGTACCCACAGTGGAGAAGGGGAAGATAAAACATGGTCCCTTACCTTGATTTCCCCATATACTGTGTACCCACAGTGGAGAAGGGGAACATAAGACATGGTCCCTTACCTTGATTTCCCCATATACTGTGTACCCACAGTGGAGAAGGGGAAGATAAAACATGGTCCCTTACCTTGATTTCCCCATATACCATGTACCCACAGTGGAGAAGGGGAAGATAAAACATGGTCCCTTACCTTGATTTCCCCATATACCATGTACCCACAGTGGAGAAGGGGAAGATAAAACATGGTCCCTTACCTTGATTTCCCCATATACTGTGTACCCACAGTGGAGAAGGGGAAGATAAAACATGGTCCCTTACCTTGATTTCCCCATATACTGTGTACCCACAGTGGAGAAGGGGAAGATAAAACATGGTCCCTTACCTTGATTTCCCCATATACCATGTACCCACAGTGGAGAAGGGGAACATAAGACATGGTCCCTTACCTTGATTTCCCCATATACTGTGTACCCACAGTGGAGAAGGGGAAGATAAAACATGGTCCCTTACCTTGATTTCCCCATATACCATGTACCCACAGTGGAGAAGGGGAACATAAGACATGGTCCCTTACCTTGATTTCCCCATATACTGTGTACCCACAGTGGAGAAGGGGAAGATAAAACATGGTCCCTTACCTTGATTTCCCCATATACTGTGTACCCACAGTGGAGAAGGGGAACATAAGACATGGTCCCTTACCTTGATTTCCCCATATACTGTGTACCCACAGTGGAGAAGGGGAAGATAAAACATGGTCCCTTACCTTGATTTCCCCTTATACTGTGTACCCACAGTGGAGAAGGGGAAGATAAAACATGGTCCCTTACCTTGATTTCCCCATATACTGTGTACCCACAGTGGAGAAGGGGAACATAAGACATGGTCCCTTACCTTGATTTCCCCATATACTGTGTACCCACAGTGGAGAAGGGGAAGATAAAACATGGTCCCTTACCTTGATTTCCCCATATACTGTGTACCCACAGTGGAGAAGGGGAACATAAGACATGGTCCCTTACCTTGATTTCCCCATATACTGTGTACCCACAGTGGAGAAGGGGAAGATAAAACATGGTCCCTTACCTTGATTTCCCCATGTACCCACAGTGGAGAAGGGGAAGATAAGACATGGTCCCTTACCTTGATTTCTCCATATACCGTGTACCCACAGTGGAGAAGGGGAAGATAAAACATGGTCCCTTACCTTGATTTCCCCATATACTGTGTACCCACAGTGGAGAAGGGGAACATAAGACATGGTCCCTTACCTTGATTTCCCCATATACTGTGTACCCACAGTGGAGAAGGGGAAGATAAAACATGGTCCCTTACCTTGATTTCCCCATGTACCCACAGTGGAGAAGGGGAAGATAAGACATGGTCCCCTACCTTGATTTCCCCATATACTGTGTACCCACAGTGGAGAAGGGGAAGATAAGACATGGTCCCTTACCTTGATTTCCCCATATACCATGTACCCACAGTGGAGAAGGGGAACATAAGACATGGTCCCTTACCTTGATTTCCCCATATACTGTGTACCCACAGTGGAGAAGGGGAAGATAAAACATGGTCCCTTACCTTGATTTCCCCATATACCATGTACCCACAGTGGAGAAGGGGAAGATAAGACATGGTCCCTTACCTTGATTTCTCCATATACCATGTACCCACAGTGGAGAAGGGGAACATAAGACATGGTCCCCTACCTTGATTTCCCCATATACTGTGTACCCACAGTGGAGAAGGGGAACATAAGACATGGTCCCCTACCTTGATTTCCCCATATACCATGTACCCACAGTGGAGAAGGGGAAGATAAGACATGGTCCCTTACCTTGATTTCCCCATATACCATGTACCCACAGTGGAGAAGGGGAAGATAAAACATGGTCCCTTACCTTGATTTCCCCATATACTGTGTACCCACAGTGGAGAAGGGGAAGATAAGACATGGTCCCTTACCTTGATTTCCCCATATACCATGTACCCACAGTGGAGAAGGGGAACATAAGACATGGTCCCCTACCGTGATTTCCCCATATACCGTGTACCCACAGTGGAGAAGGGGAAGATAAAACATGGTCCCTTACCTTGATTTCCCCATATACTGTGTACCCACAGTGGAGAAGGGGAAGATAAGACATGGTCCCTTACCTTGATTTCCCCATATACCATGTACCCACAGTGGAGAAGGGGAACATAAGACTTGGTCCCTTACCTTGATTTCCCCATATACTGTGTACCCACAGTGGAGAAGGGGAACATAAGACATGGTCCCTTTCCTTGATTTCCCCATATACCATGTACCCACAGTGGAGAAGGGGAAGATAAAACATGGTCCCTTACCTTGATTTCCCCATATACCATGTACCCACAGTGGAGAAGGGGAAGATAAAACATGGTCCCTTACCTTGATTTCCCCATATACTGTGTACCCACAGTGGAGAAGGGGAAGATAAGACATGGTCCCTTACCTTGATTTCCCCATATACCATGTACCCACAGTGGAGAAGGGGAACATAAGACATGGTCCCCTACCGTGATTTCCCCATATACCGTGTACCCACAGTGGAGAAGGGGAAGATAAAACATGGTCCCTTACCTTGATTTCCCCATATACTGTGTACCCACAGTGGAGAAGGGGAAGATAAGACATGGTCCCTTACCTTGATTTCCCCATATACCATGTACCCACAGTGGAGAAGGGGAACATAAGACTTGGTCCCTTACCTTGATTTCCCCATATACTGTGTACCCACAGTGGAGAAGGGGAACATAAGACATGGTCCCTTTCCTTGATTTCCCCATATACCATGTACCCACAGTGGAGAAGGGGAACATAAAACATGGTCCCTTACCTTGATTTCCCCATATACTGTGTACCCACAGTGGAGAAGGGGAAGATAAGACATGGTCCCTTACCTTGATTTCACCATATACTGTGTACCCACAGTGGAGAAGGGGAAGATAAAACATGGTCCCTTACCTTGATTTCCCCATATACTGTGTACCCACAGTGGAGAAGGGGAAGATAAAACATGGTCCCCTACCGTGATTTCCCCATATACCGTGTACCCACAGTGGAGAAGGGGAAGATAAAACATGGTCCCTTACCTTGATTTCCCCATATACCATGTACCCACAGTGGAGAAGGGGAACATAAGACATGGTCCCCTACCGTGATTTCCCCATATACCGTGTACCCACAGTGGAGAAGGGGAAGATAAAACATGGTCCCTTACCTTGATTTCCCCATATACCATGTACCCACAGTGGAGAAGGGGAACATAAGACTTGGTCCCTCACCTTGATTTCCCCATATACTGTGTACCCACAGTGGAGAAGGGGAACATAAGACATGGTCCCTTACCTTGATTTCCCCATATACTGTGTACCCACAGTGACGTGGAGTGAGGTAATCTGCCCTGCCCTCCATGATGGTGTTGCCACTGTTTCAGGTTGTTCAATGCCAGGCTTGGTCTGCCGCTGCATGATGTGACCTCCCCAGACAATGGGGAGATTCTGGGGGTCAGCGTGTCTCATATCCCCACTGTCATGGTGGGAATCTTTACACAACACGACATATATATTGTGCAGGTAACTTATCATTCATCAAAATATTGTTTTTATTTACTGAAGTTAAAACAGCCCCAGACTTTTCCAACATTTTACGAAAATGAATTTCAACTTTGACCTTTTTGTAATGGCTGTTAAAGATGTATCACAGAAAAGTATTTCCCATACTCATACACAGTCAAACACTGTTGTGTTGAACTTTGTTGTCTCGAAGTAAAAGCTTGGTCCCTGCATATTTCTTCTTTAAACATCATTTTCGTCGATGTCAAACCTCAGAAAACTCGAAGTATTTACATAGGTCCCTTCAGCTGTGACCCATCGATGTTTGGCTATATTATATTTGTTTCCCCTGTATATTGCCCTGTTGGAGAGACAAAGCACTAGTTTGTGTTGCTGTATGTTGCCCTGTTGGAGAGACAAAGCACTAGTTTGTGTTGCTGTATGTTGCCCTGTTGGAGAGACAAAGCACTAATTTGTGTTACTGTATGTTGCCCTGTTGGAGAGACAAAGCACTAGTTTGTGTTGCTGTATGTTGCCCTGTTGGAGAGACAAAGCACTAGTTTGTGTTGCTGTATGTTGCCCTGTTGGAGAGACAAAGCACTAGTTTGTGTTGCTGTATGTTGCCCTGTTGGAGAGACAAAGCACTAATTTGTTTTACTGTATGTTGCCCTGTTGGAGAGACAAAGCACTAGTTTGTGTTGCTGTATGTTGCCCTGTTGGAGAGACAAAGCACTAGTTTGTGTTGCTGTATGTTGCCCTGTTGGAGAGACAAAGCACTAGTTTGTGTTGCTGTATGTTGCCCTGTTGGAGAGACAAAGCACTAGTTTGTGTTGTTGTATGTTGCCCTGTTGGAGAGACAAAGCACTAGTTTGTGTTGCTGTATGCTACCCTGTTGGAGAGACAAAGCACTAGTTTGTGTTGCTGTATGTTGCCCTGTTGGAGAGACAAAGCACTAGTTTGTGTAACTGTATGTTGCCCTGTTGGAGAGACAAAGCACTAGTTTGTGTTTCTATGTTGCCCTGTTGGAGAGACAAAGCACTAGTTTGTGTTGCTGTATGTTGCCCTGTTGGAGAGACAAAGCACTAGTTTGTGTTACTGTATGTTGCCCTGTTGGAGAGACAAAGCACTAGTTTGTGTTGCTGTATGTTGCCCTGTTGGAGAGACAAAGCACTAGTTTGTGTTGTTGTATGTTGCCCTGTTGGAGAGACAAAGCACTAGTTTGTGTTGCTGTATGTTGCCCTGTTGGAGAGACAAAGCACTAGTTTGTGTTTCTATGTTGCCCTGTTGGAGAGACAAAGCCCTAGTTTTTGGTTCAGTATGTTGCCCTGTTGGAGAGACAAAGCACTAGTTTGTGTTGCTGTATGTTGCCCTGTTGGAGAGACAAAGCACTAGTTTGTGGTTCAGTATGTTGTTTTTTTCCTATTGACAGAAGACTCCTGCAAAATCCGACAGTCCAAGTGTGATGTCGGCACCTGCAGGGAGGACGTTCCAGACAGATGCCCTACAGGTTGCCTACCTGAGTAAGGTATGTCAGAAAATTATGCTGTTCTTTTTCTCACATGTGTGGAACATTTTAGTCTATATACATACCACTAGGTGGAGGAAGCTGTTTGTCAGTGGAGGAGGGGATGGGGCATGCACAAACACATTCAGGGATTGAAAGTACCATTGCCAATGCTCAAGCACTGTTGCCATCAGTTGGACCAGTTGCTTCATCATTGCCACTGGTCCATGCTCCAAGCTTAAACGTTAGTACTTTCAATAGAAATATTTCTATACAAAGAGAATGCTTTCATTGGGGATGCTGAAAGAAGTCCAAGCATCCAAACATTCGTTTTGATACCAGATGAACACAAATGCTTTAATGTTTTCCCTGTATGAGTTGGGAATGGAATAACCTCATCATTGGTTGGTTGGAGGGAAACAGAATAGGTGCTTCATACATTCTCTGTGTATCTTCTTTCTGATACCGAAGTGCATGTACATGTCACTCATATTCTAAATAGACGGCATACATCGCATCTGTCTGTTAAATAAATAAACAGAATGTGCTGGAGCAGGTCTCAAAACTTGTTTTTGAAGGGAGGTAAGGATATTATTTTGGTTGTAAATGACTCATTACTGTCCAGCAAAAGACTTGATTTCATGCAGAAATTTCCTCATTAATTTGATAAACCACATTTCAAGCTGCGTTATGACTGAATATTACATGTCCTTGACCCTGAGCCTTTTGTCAGGAGAAGCAACAGGACCAGTCAGCCCAGGTTGTAAAAAGGATATCGCACCTGCACAGAAGGTGGAACGGGGATCAGGTGAAGCAGCCAAGGTCAAGGTTGTCCCAACTTGTAGGTCAGTGTCAAGAACGTTTGAAAGGGATAAGTGTCAGTATATCTTTTGTTCTTATATGTGACCTCTACTTTGACATCTTCCTTCAGTTCTTTGACAAAGGTTAATCTGTGTATAATGTTGTAACTGTTCCAGATCCCTACATGGCAGAGTTCTGGAGGCTAGAGGAGTTAGTTGGCAGTATAGCGGATCGGTCCAAGGTAGGTGTCCATGTTAGTGGATAGGTCCAAGGTAGGTGCCCATCTCAGCAGGTAGGTCCAAGGTAGGTGCCCATCTCTGTAGGTAGGTCTGAGGTAGGTGCCCTCTCAGCAGGTAGGTCCGAGGTAGGTGCCCATCTCGTTAGGTAGTTCCAAGGTAGGTGCCCATCTCAGTGGGTAGTTCCAAGGTAGGTGCCCATCTCTGTAGGAAGGTCTGAGGTAGGTGCCCTCTCAGCAGGTAGGTCAAAGGTAGGTGCCCATCTCAGCAGGTAGGTCCAAGGTAGGTGCCCATCTCTGTAGGTAGGTCTGAGGTAGGTGCCCTCTCAGCAGGTAGGTCCAAGGTAGGTGCCCATCTCAGTGGGTAGGTCCAAGGTAGGTGCCCATCTCTGTAGGTAGGTCTGAGGTAGGTGCCCTCTCAGCAGGTAGGTCCAAGGTAGGTGCCCATCTCTGTAGGTAGGTCTGAGGTAGGTGCCCTCTCAGTGGGTAGGTCCAAGGTAGGTGCCCATCTCTGTAGGTAGGTCCAAGGTAGGTGCCCATCTCAGCAGGTAGGTCCAAGGTAGGTGCCCATCTCAGCAGGTAGGTCCAAGGTAGGTGCCCATCTCAGTGGTTAGTCACAAGGTAGGTGCCCATCTCTGTAGGTAGGTCTGAGGTAGGTGCCCTCTCAGCAGGTAGGTCCAAGGTAGGTGCCCATCTCAGCAGGTAGGTCCAAGGTAGGTGCCCATCTCAGTGGTTAGTCACAAGGTAGGTGCCCATCTCTGTAGGTAGGTCCAAGGTAGGTGCCCATCTCAGCAGGTAGGTCCAAGGTAGGTGCCCATCTCAGCAGGTAGGTCCAAGGTAGGTGCCCATCTCAGTGGTTAGTCACAAGGTAGGTGCCCATCTCTGTAGGTAGGTCTGAGGTAGGTGCCCTCTCAGCAGGTAGGTCCAAGGTAGGTGCCCATCTCAGTGGTTAGTCACAAGGTAGGTGCCCATCTCAGTGGTTAGTCACAAGGTAGGTGCCCATCTCAGTGGTTAGTCACAAGGTAGGTGCCCATCTCTGTAGGTAGGTCTGAGGTAGGTGCCCTCTCAGCAGGTAGGTCCAAGGTAGGTGCCCATCTCAGTGGTTAGTCACAAGGTAGGTGCCCATCTCTGTAGGTAGGTCTGAGGTAGGTGCCCTCTCAGCAGGTAGGTCCAAGGTAGGTGCCCATCTCAGTGGTTAGTCACAAGGTAGGTGCCCATCTCAGTGGTTAGTCACAAGGTAGGTGCCCATCTCAGTGGTTAGTCACAAGGTAGGTGCCCATCTCAGCAGATAATCTACCACTGATAATGTTTCAAGCTAAACAGGGGATCACAGACCAAAAAGGGGATTCAGTAGCTAACTGATTTATTTCTAAATTGTGCTTAACATCTTAATATCTGAGATCCAGAATAGTGAATGATGTCACCTTACATTTTCACCACAGTGCAGAGATATTAAATCACATTAACTGCTTTTATAGGGTCTTAAATTCACCTTGATATATTTATTTTCTGTTCAGTGTTAAGCAATCATTGTTTGAAGCAGTGAATATATTTTTAGCATTTCTTCAACATTCATTCAGCTTCCTATCAACACTGAGGCAACAACAGTGGAGGATGAAGTCAGGAACATTCTCTTCAACAAAAGTTCTCTCCCTTTGGATGTCCAGCAAGCCCAGATCCTGTGGCTGTGTGAGAAATACCCTGACGTGATGCTTCAGGTTCTAACTGGTGACCTACAGTATGATACAGGTATGTATTGTGTTTGATCTGAAAATGATCATGTTGCACCTACAGTGTAAGCTGAATGGTTGTGTAATCAGCTCATGCTATTTCACTGAGTGGTAATGTCTGTCATCCTTCCAAGCAGCTCATAACATTGACTTCTGCACAGGGCATCAGCTGCAGCTCTTTCATTCTAGGTTACACTTGTAACTCAACTTATGATATTTCTATGATTAAAACATGATTAACTATGATTAAAAAATACTATCTGTATTTTCTTGCGTATAGTGCTTTACCCAAGTATAATGCGCACCCCTCTCTAGCAGATTCAGTATTTTTGAAAAACAAAATACAAATATTATGAGCAGAAACAAAATACACCGTACCCATTCAGTGAATTCCGGTAAACGAACAGCTGATAAGAGACTTGGTCAGTACAAATATGAAATCTGAGATTTAAATCACCAGACATGTTGATCTACCGTTTAAATTGTATTTTTGTTCTGCTAGGCATTGTTTTACATGCAGGAGATTACCTTGTGTATTTTCTCATAAACTAAGCCGGAAACAGCAATCAGCTGTACACACATTTTCTTGGAATCTACCGTTGATTCGGTTAAAACTTACCCAATGATATAACTTTAAAGGATTTTAATGCAAAGATCAGGGAAAATTGTATCTGAAACTAATATTTTATCAGGAATAATATATTCCAATATCATGTTATTTTAGTTGCAGCTTTAATTAAATATATTTAAAATGATATGAATTTCTATGACATGTTTTAGAAAAGTGAATTTTGTTAATGACAAGCAAGATGTGATGGTGCCTCAAGGTGTTTGAAAAAGAGAAACATTGTTTGTTTAAGTGTTAGTATGACATGCCAAGTCCCGGTAGAATAAAGGATAACATCAACATCCCATTTCCACAGTGGACCTTGCCACAGACCAGGCTGACCGCTGGCAGCGGCTACTTGGTCTGGAGGCGGACACAGCTCTGGCAGGAGATGTGACACTCCTGTTGTTTGAACATGTCTGCCGTCTGCTGTACAAGCTCAAGCCTCAACACCTGGTAGGAACAAACACGCATCTGTGATTTACGCGGGAAAAGTTGTTGCATGGATGGGTACGACAGAATACTAGCCAAGCAAAGTCTTTCATCACATTGGACATAGTGTTTGGTTGAGACTACCAAGACCAAATCATGACCATCTGCTAAGGCTATAATTTCCTCAATAGTAGAAGCTCAAAACTCAACAGTCAAACTCTTCAGACACAGGCACAGGAACTTTAAATCTTGATGTGAGATTATAACATAACCTTGATGTGACTAGTTCACAAGGTGTTTCTTTGCTTGATATGTTTTAAGTGTAACTGCATAGTTACCATACTGGTAGCATGGATGCCTTCTATATTGGCTAGATACCAATCTGAACACAGGACAGTACAAGGCGGACTCTACTATCACACCCATCCTTACATTGAACATTCCCTGGAAGGAAGACTTACCCCCAAACTGTAGTAATGGCAGTCATCATACTACAAGGGGTTCTCTACTATCACACCCATCCTTATATTGAACATTCCCTGGAAGGAAGACTTACCCCCAAACTGTAGTAATGGCAGTCATCATATTACAAGGGGTTCTCTACTATCACACCCATCCTTACATTGAACATTCCCTGGAAGGAACACTTACCCCCAAACTGTAGTAATGGCAGTCATCATATTACAAGGGGTTCTCTACTATCACACCCATCCTTATATTGAACATTCCCTGGAAGGAAGACTTACCCCCAAACTGTAGTAATGGCAGTCATCATATTACAAGGGGTTCTCTACTATCACACCCATCCTTACATTGAACATTCCCTGGAAGGAAGACTTACCCCCAAACTGTAGTAATGGCAGTCATCATATTACAAGGGGTTCTCTACTATCACACCCATCCTTACATTGAACATTCCCTGGAAGGAAGACTTACCCCCAAACTGTAGTAATGGCAGTCATCATATTACAAGGGGTTCTCTACTATCACACCCATCCTTATATTGAACATTCCCTGGAAGGAAGACTTACCCCCAAACTGTAGTAATGGCAGTCATCATATTACAAGGGGTTCTCTACTATCACACCCATCCTTACATTGAACATTCCCTGGAAGGAAGACCTACCTCCAAACTGTACTAATGGCAGTCATTATTCTATCTACCAGTCCCTGTCATTACTGGTCCTGTACATCTGTATATTTTACCTGTAATACAGATGCAGTTTGTCCGTACAGCCCAGAGTGTCAGTGAGCAGACTGTAGGTGTGTCAGCTTTCGTCCGCCGGAAACAAACAGTAGGTCAAGTGATGTGGTGACAGGTGTTACTAGGTTTCTTGTTGTACACAGTCTGATTGATAGTTTGTATATGTCCCTTACTTCTGAGGGAAATATTGAGTAAATATCAATTTTCAGCACACACTAAAGGACACCAAACTTTGATTGATAACAGTGACAGTGATACGCCAGATGGCGCTGCAACTTGATCAACATTCGGAGTTGTCTCGGCTTATCACCCTGTGTATATAATGCACAACAAGATGTCAAGGTTAACATATCATGTGGTTATTATGTCATTACTCGTGCACCCACTGTGTGATGTCATATACATGTCAAGATTATTGCACCATTTGTCTTCGTAACCGGGAATGTTTGAAGAATTGTTTAAAGTGTTGCGCCATCTGGTATATTGGATTATTCCTTTGTTTCAATTAATGTATTTTTTCACCAAATGGTCGTCCATAGTCAACCCCCATAAAGTAAACCATTGATACATTGCCAATTAATCTGAAAAGGATTTATTAAATGCTTCTGAAGATGTTTCACAAATTGCCGTCTTCTCAGTTCCAGTATTATAAGAAGGCATTGAGCTGTCTCCCCGAACCGGACACATCTCAGGACATAGAGGCTGCAGTCCGAGTCAAGGTCCACCTCATTCTAGCAAGGTCAGCTTAGAGTCAGCTTGAAGCAGTTTACATATTCTGAAGCCAAGAGAGCCATCTTGTATGTTAGTACAGACGTTGATCTGTTGACAATTGTGAGGTGCATGACACAGAGAGCCATCTTGTATGTTAGTACAGACATTTATCTGTTGACAGTTGTGAGGTGCATGACACAGAGAGCCATCTTGTATGTTAGTACAGACGTTGATCTGTTGACAATTGTGAGGTGCATGACACAGAGAGAGCCATCTTGTATGTTGGTACAGACGTTGATCTGTTGACAATTGTGCGGTGCAAGACACACAGAGAGAGCCATCTTGTATGTTGGTACAGACATTTATCTGTTGACAGTTGTGAGGTGCAAGACACAGAGAGCCATCTTGTATGTTGGTACAGACGTTGATCTGTTGACAGTTGTGAGGTGCAAGACACAGAGAGAGCCATCTTGTATGTTGGTACAGACGTTGATCTGTTGACAATTGTGAGGTGCAAGATGCAGAGAGAGAGATCTTGTATGTTAGTGAAGACGTTGATTTGTTGACAGTTGTGAGGGGCGTGACACAGAGAGAGCCATCTTGTATGTTAGTGAAGACATTGATCTGTTGACAGTTGTGAGGGGCGTGACACAGAGAGCCATCTTGTATGTTAGTGAAGACGTTGATCTGTTGACAGTTGTGAGGGGCGTGACACAGAGAGAGCCATCTTGTATGTTAGTGAAGACGTTGATCTGTTGACGGTTGTGAGGGGCGTGACACAGAGAGAGAGCCATCTTGTATGTTAGTGAAGACGTTGATCTGTTGACAGTTGTGAGGAGCATGACACAGAGAGAGCCATCTTGTATGTTAGTGAAGACGTTGATCTGTTGACAGTTGTGAGGAGCATGACACAGAGAGCCATCTTGTATGTTAGTGAAGACGTTGATCTGTTGACAGTTGTGAGGAGCATGACACAGAGAGAGCCATCAAGCTCCTCCTGGAGCACCAGCAGTGGAAGGCAGCCATTACCCTGATCAAGGAGCAGCCGGACAACTCACAGTCCAGGGCGTGTCTCTTGTTCATCACCATGGCAGCACTAGCTCAGGTAGGTCGCAGATGAACTTGTAAGATTAAAGTAACTTGGCTCACTTGGCCTGGAACTACATGGTGGTATTTCTAGGCTTTAAGAGCTTTGAGGAAACGGAGGTGAATGGGCTACTTCTGTTTTTGCAGATACTTGCAAGGACCTCTAGTTTCCTCCATACTTCGACCACCTCCATGGTCTAGTGGTAGAGTGTCCGCCCGGAGAGCGGAAGGTCCGGGGATCGATCCCCGGCCGCGTCATACCAAAAGACGTAAAAAGATGGTACTTGTTGTTACCCTGTCTGGCGCTCGGCATTAAGGGGCTAAAAAAAGGACTGGTTGGCTCGGAGTAAGTATACTGTGTCTGAGTGGGGTATTCATGTTAAACTGCGGCATGGTATCTCAGTGGGCTAGCACTATAAATCGGCATCAGTCCGGACTAGTCCAAGCAGCCACATACACCCACACACACGTGCATGCACCTCGCTTTATAAGTGCAATAATCTTGGACGGGACGTTAAACCCAATTTCACCTCACCACCTCACCTCCATACTTCATTGTCAGTTATACATCTTGTAGTCTCGGCCCTCAGTACATGTAGCTGTACTAAAACCAATAGAGGTTTGGAATTTGAACTAGATGTCCATATTGGCTGCTTGGGGTTTTGAGAGTATTGATTTGGCAACACATTCAGCTGTTGTCAACAGCCTGAGTGTGTCGTTGTGGCCCAGTGAAATTTGCCCTTGCCTTGATTATTGCCTCTAGTTTGGCACTTTACACATTGCCATGCTATAGCTGATGCTTCCCTCCTCTCCTCCAGAACACTTTACACATTGCCATGCTATTGCAGATGCTTTCCTCCAGAACACTTTACACATTGCCATGCGATTGCGGATAATTGCCTCCTCTCCTCCAGAACACTTTACACATTGCCATGCTATTGCGGATGCTTCCCTCCTTTCCTCCAGAACACTTTACACATTGCCATGCTATTGCGGATAATTGCCTCCTCTCCTCCAGAACACTTTGCACATTGCCATGCTATTGCGGATGCTTCCCTCCTCTCCTCCAGAACACTTTACACATTGCCATGCTATTGCAGATGCTTCCCTCCTCTCCTCCAGAACACTTTACACATTGCCATGCTATTGCGGATGCTTCCCTCCTCTCCTCCAGAACACTTTACACATTGCCATGCTATTGCGGATGCTTCCCTCCTCTCCTCCAGAACACTTTACACATTGCCATGCTATTGCCGAAGCTTCCCTCCTCTCCTCCAGAACACTTTACACATTGCCATGCTATTGCAGATGCTTCCCTCCTCTCCTCCAGAACACTTTACACATTGCCATGCTATTGCAGATGCTTTCCTCCTCTCCTCCAGAACACTTTACACATGGCCATGCTATTGCAGATGCTTCCCTCCTTTCCTCCAGAACACTTTACACATTGCCATGCTATTGCAGATGCTTTCCTCCTTTCCTCCAGAACACTTTACACATTGCCATGCTATTGCGGATGCTTGCCTCCTCTCCTCCAGAACACTTTACACATTGCCATGCTATTGCTGAAGCTTCCCTCCTTTCCTCCAGAACACTTTACACATTGCCATGCTATTGCAGATGCTTTCCTCCTTTCCTCCAGAACACTTTACACATTGCCATGCTATTGCGGATGCTTGCCTCCTCTCCTCCAGAACACTTTACACATTGCCATGCTATTGCTGAAGCTTCCCTCCTTTCCTCCAGAACACTTTACACATTGCCATGCTATTGCAGATGCTTTCCTCCTTTCCTCCAGAACACTTTACACATTGCCATGCTATTGCGGATGCTTCCCTCCTCTCCTCCAGAACACTTTACCCCTATCTATTTTCAGGAATTTATGTCCTATTTCCACAACGTTCGAAATGCCTGTAAATATATACTGAACCGCAAAAGAAACATCACCCCAAGTAACATTGCACGAAAAGTTGTCATTTAAAAAAATATCTGGGTAATTTTTGTCAAAGTTCCTAAAATTAAACATAACCTTGTCCGGAAAAATGAAATTTGATGATAAAAAAGGAGATGACAATAAAACAGATCGCCCAAACGCATCACGGCAACGGCCAGGGTAACCCAATGCAGTTCTGTGCAAATTGAAATGCACATGCGTTCCCCCATTTCTTGCCCTATAAAAATCCACCCAGATTGGATAACCTTCATTCGTTATTGAATTGCTACCATATGCCAAGATTGACAAGAAATCAGTGAGACCAAGCCCTTGGACGATTGCAAGCTGGACAAACTGCCCAACAAGTAGCCAATGCATTTCAAGTTCATGTAAGGATCATAAACAGGCTCCAGTAACGGTACCAGACCACCAACACTACAGATGACCGACAACGCAGAGGAAGACCAAGGGTCACAACCCGACATCAGGATCATCAGATTATGCGACAACATCTTCAAGATCACTTTGTTACTGCTGCAGAAACTGCTCGACAAACCATGGGGAGAGACCAGTGACACATTAGTGCGGACACAGTGCGTCAACAATTGACGAGCAGACACTTCCACTGTCACACTGAGGACCCATTCTGACACCACATCATCGCCGGGACCATCTTCAGTGGGCAACACAGCACCAGCATTGATCCCACCAGCAGTGGAGAAGAGTCCTCTTCTCAGACGAGAGCCGTTACTGCATCTCAACAGCAGATGGCACAGAGAGAGAGTCTGGCGACGCCGTGGGGAACGTTATTCAGATTCTTGTGTTGTGGAGAGAGACTCGTGAGGTGGCCTGAGCATCATGGTGTGGGGTGGAATTGGTCTTGCACAGAGGGTCGGCCCTGTGGTCTTCCAGAACATCGGTCCAGGGATAGGCAATGGTGTCACAGCAGCTCGGTACATTGATCAAGTCTTGAGACCACACGCCATACCTCATTTGGCACGTTGCTGCAACCATGAGTTTCATCATGATAGCGCCCATGCAACAAGAGACTTCCTCCAGCAGAATGGCATCAGAACCATGCAGTGGCCTGCCCTCAGTCCCTATTTAAATCCCATTGAACATCTGTGGGACGAGATTCAAAGACGGCTGAATGATGTCTGACCAAGGCCGACAACTGCAGCTGAACTGTGTCAGGCGTTCCTCAGAGTGTGGGTTCAAGTGCCTATGGCCTTCATCAACTGCCTCAGCCATTCCATGTATCGGCGTTGCGTGGCAGTCATCAATGCACATGGCGAACACACAAGATACTGACTTGTGATGCCATTTTCTCAGAGACTAGTGTTGTGTTTCACTTTAAGAACATTTGACACTTTAATTTCAACCTTGTTTCAAGTTTCATCTTTTTAATGTCTCAAAGTATGTTTACAGTGTTTGGACAAATAAGGTTTCTCATATATCAATCCATGGTGATGTTTCTTTTGCAGTTCAGTATATTTGGTGAAAATGTAAACTCTTTATCTTTTATTTCAGCAACAAGTCCTGTCTGAGTATGCTAAAGACATATTCTCTCTTGTGCCATCTTGTCAAAGGTAGGTCCGATGTTAACATTACAAATGTGTGTGTGATATATCAAGTTGGAGATGGGACTGGGCGTTGTTTCATGACTGCAACATGAATTCCGCCAGTGAATTTCATCAGTGCCAGTGTCTGCATGTCTGTCTGATTGTGGATGTTACTTAGATATAGAGGGCTTCTTGTATTTGTGTCACCATACCCTAAGCATAAATCTATGCTCTCACAGACAGCCATTTGTGTCACAATCCACAGGGTAGATCTATGTTCACAGACAGCCATTTGTGTCACAATCCACGGGGTAGATCTATGTTCACAGACAGCCATTTGTGTCACAATCCACAGGGTAGATCTATGTTCACAGACAGCCATTTGTGTCACAATCCACAGGGTAGATCTATGTGCACAGACAGCCATTTGTGTCACAATCCACAGGGTAGATCTATGTTCACAGACAGCCATTTGTGTCACAATCCACGGGGTAGATCTATGTTCACAGACAGCCATTTGTGTCACAATCCACGGGGTAGATCTATGTTCACAGACAGCCATTTGTGTCACAATCCACAGGGTAGATCTATGCAGACACACAGCCATTTGTTATCATATCCACAGTATACATCTATGTTCACAGGCATCTATTTGTGTCATATTTGTGTATGAATTGTGAAACTGATCGGACCTTGTTCCCATCCTCTCCAGTTTTCTTACTTTCTCCGACATCATCGAAAAGCAGCCGGAAGTAAAACAAAGTCAGCTGACCACGTCTACCTCCGCCATTTTCTGCCAGGGACCACCAGACATTCCAGTAGGATCCGTCAGACCAATACTAACACAGGTGCTGTCCACAGACAACAAAAGTTGACAGACCTATTTAGGCATGATGGTGTTTCCTTGAATTATATGACCAGCATATAGAAACTGAAGATTTAATGCAGGACTTGAGAGGAATGATTATTGTTGCATTCAATAATTTGTGATCTTTTGCTATTGAAAATTGGGATTTAAATAATCATTTTTTTGTTAAACATTTTGAACAAATATTTTTCTTAATTGAATTGGAATCATATCTTTCAATACTATGAAAATTTATTTCATAATTTATCAGTTGTATACACAACTCAAAACAAATAAGATACACTGAGGTTCTGCAAAGTCCTGTATGGATCTGGTATTTGCATCTAATGATAAATCCTCGAGAAAAGTATACATGGTTTTTTTTACAAATATATTTATGAAGTCTGTAGTGATAAAATGAACATGCGTGTACGTTTTCAAGAGCATTGATTGACAGTGTTAAGCTGTCATTGGGCAGAATGCAATATTGTTTAAAGATGTTATTTTGGAATAAAATCATCTTCTTAAGCCTTTTGTTTTTTATAATCCACTGTTGAGAAGGCAGGTTGCTGTACCTTTTATTGCACTAGATGAGATACCGCTCCAAATTCACTGTACTGTTGGGGCATCTGGGGTTCAGTGCTATGATGTCATACAAGATTACACTGCAGTGAAGTCATAGTTCAAAATATACTGCAGTTCTTCTTTCACTTTCCCCAGAAGCAATATGTGACTTGTGTAAAACAGGAATGAATTCTCTTTGTTTGACATGGAATGTTGTATCTTTGATGATTTGTCTAAAGATATGTTGTTAAAGAATTCCAGATACACAATTGGAAGTTGTGCCAGTAATCACTGAATGATAGCCACAGACCCCTCCATTTGTTTTTCAACACTATACATTTAAGGAGCACCTCCATGGTCTAGAGAATAGAGCGTTGGTGGTTCGATCCCTGATCATATATCAAAAGACAACAAAAGATTGTACTTGTTCTTACCCTGTCTGGCACTTGGTATTAAGGGAATGAAATAAGGATTGATCGTCTCAGAGTCAGTATACTGTGTAACCCATATAATGGGGTATCCGTGTTAAATATGGCATGGCATGGCAGTGTGTTAACTCTATAATACCGGCATTAGTCCAACTAGTACAAGCAGTCGCACACACACATCCATGCATGTTGCTATATAAGTGTAATAATCATGAGCGACATTAAACCTTATTTCACTTCACCTTTAAGTTCAACAGTGATTTTGACACAAAAACTGAACATAGGTGAATGACTTAGACTCAAGAAATGTTTGCTTATGCCATGTGCTGCTCACAAATCAACAAAACTGGTGGATAAACCATAACAACAAACCAATGCAGTACCATTCGTGATTGGATGAATATCTACGATCTGGCCAATGAACGTTGCAAGAGAAGTACTTGACAGCTCCTGACAGCGTTTCCCTATGATGCAGACATGCGTTGCTCAGAATTTCAACTTTGATTTTTGATGGCTGTGCATTGTGTTATTAATTGATATTGTAAGTAGGACTTACCCTTTCTATTTCCTTTTTAATTATGAAATTATGAAACTTGTGACACCTTGCTTAGCATATCTTTTGGCCAAAAGTCTGACTACTTAAACAAACTATAAGTCAAATCAAAGACATATATATACGTATATATAATGTTATTGGTCTATGATCGGTGGCCAATGGCCGTACTGCAACTCTGAGTTCAAGCTGCAATATTAAACAATACTAAATATTAAACTCTAAACTGATGACATCTGACATGACAACACAGGTCAGGCATGCATAATGATAAAGACATGAACTCATGTGCTGCAGTAGGCAGGATAAACTTTATTGTACAAAAATAAACTATGAAATGTAAACATATTTCATATTTCCAAAACACAAATCAACACACTGTATCATGATAAGAAGTAATTCATACTGATCAAGTGGCAATTAACCAAAAAAGCAAACATTTAGAAACCTATTGAAAAGTAAAACACCCACTGTATAACTACCATTATACCAACGCGTCTTCAGTCACTTGGACAACATAAAGGACATGCTGCTGTTACTTCAACATCATCAAAGGGAGTCACGCCATTAGCCAGGCATGGCTTAGTGGATTTTAATATAAGATCACTTTTCAAATAATTGGAGTGAAGTATCATATATGTTATTAACTAATCAATCAATGGCAATGCTAGCAGCATCCTTGCAAAATATAATACATGTTTTCCACATCAACTACATCAATTCTAAATTTATATATAATCATATGGCAATATCCAAGGGAACCAAACTGATATACCATGTTTACAGGGCTTCCATGATTACATTCCGATAACATTTATTTTTCCAGTTATTGCTGGGATTGTTCACACAGCAAGTTTCAAAGACCTCATGATCCGAGAAAATAGTGTTGTCTTTAAAAAATGAGCCAGGACACAAACTTGCATGGACGTTTGGTTTGACAAGTTAATAATGCACCTTAACTGTAAGCATGCAACACATGACCTACTGAACTGACTTCTAAATATGTTTGTAATATGATTGTTTAAAAACTAAAAGAAGACGAACGTCACATTTGATGGTGTTGCCAAGAACGGTCAGTGATGGCAAACATCTATAAGGACATCTTTTACTCTCACAAAATGTCCCACATATGAAGTAAACAATCGTGAAGTCTGATCAAATTACTAGCACAAACATAACTCAACATGTATCAAGCATTTGAAGTTGTTCTCAATAGGTTTCAGTTTTGTTCTCTTGCACTCAAGAGGTAACATTACATCTAGTTGAAGAACATACTAGTGAAAGCTTTTTTCGTTATGGAAGTTACACACATTTGTTAATGATTTTTTTTTAAAACCTGTAATATGTGTACTTGTATTGTTTTGGGACTGGGGGTGGGGGATAGGATGGGGTCCAGCTTCCTAGTTCTGGTCGCAACAGGAGACGAGTTGCACTGGGTGACTTGGCTGATTGGGTGCCATCATTCCAGATGAGAATGTCGTGATTATTGCGGACTGAAGCATTAATAATTTACTCACTCTCTTTTTATTATGTACAGAGAACTCTCCCATAATTTCAAGTTGTCAAGGCTACTTTGTGTCTTACCGATAATGCATTCTGTATACACGGTTCCAATACCTCCATTGCAAAGCTTTGCTACACATAATATAGACACATATCCAGGGATGAGAATGGATATTTTCCTTTTCAGCTGAAACAATGGAGCTCGGTCAATAATTTGGGGGTGTTTATGAAGGAAGCCATCAGATTTTAACAAGTTTGTGGTCACTTAAATTTGCGGATCCGAAAGGTTCTCACCCGTGCATATCTATATACGTTACTTACCACCACCAGGAAGCAGAAAGTCCATATCAAGAATTTATTATTTGAGAAAGACAGAAATCATCTTTGCACAGTAAATAGCAATGGAATGTAGTCTCCCCTACCCTGGGTGACAGGCTGTGGCACATTTAGGTGATACCCCAGTTAACATAAATCTCAAACGTAATGATTCTAAGGGTCAGTTTGCGCAAATGTAGATTAGTATTGGCAGGGAAAGAAATCAGACATTGCCTGCCAGCCCGGCCAGCTTTGTTAACTTTAAAGTTATCCTATATGGGGAAGTAGAATTTCAAACATTTGGGGGTGGGTGGGTGATTGGTAGTATTGCCATATGTTTGCACCATTAGGGCTAGAAGACGTTCTTGGTTAATTTATATCCCTGTTTGGCAATTCAATCATGACTTGAGGACATCAGTCTATCAACAGGGCCCTGGGCTCCTTGAAGTTTTCTTCTCAGTATTTGAATATAGCGACTCCCTTATTTCTTCTCTTTAAACATTGCACAAGAACATACGTTTTGGAATTAATGGGGGAGGGGGGGTCTTGAGATTTTCTCCTATTGTATACTTTTAGAATGAAGGCAATGACAGGAACCCTTGCTGTTAATGCTCAACTTTGAACACTGAGCACCCCCAGACTCATAGTTAATTTGAAACAATCAAAGCTCCTTCATCATCTGATGAAAGCCTACTTGGGACTGGTTGGGGAAGCTGACATCACTGAATGCTGTCAACAGTCTATCATGAGGGCGCCTTCATCATCTGATGAAAGCCTACTGGGGACTGGTTGGGAAAGCTGACATCACTGAATGACGTCAACAGTCTATCATGAGGGCGCCTTCATCATCTGATGAAATCCTACTGGGGGACTGGTTGGGGAAGCTGACATCACTGAATGACGTCAACAGTCTATCATGAGGGCCCCTTCATCATCTGATGAAATCCTACTGGGGGACTGGTTGGGGAAGCTGACATCACTGAATGACGTCAACAGTCTATCATGAGGGCGCCTTCATCATCTGATGAAAGCCTAGTGGGGACTGGTTGGGGAAGCTGACATCACTGAATGCTGTCAACAGTCTATCATGAGGGCGCCTTCATCATCTGATGAAAGCCTACTGGGGACTGGTTGGGAGAGGCTGACATCACTGAATGCTGTCAACAGTCTATCATGAGGGCGCCTTCATCATCTGATGAAAGCCTACTGGGGGACTGGTTGGTTGACGTCTTCCGGACCTCATCAGCTTCATCACGCAGACTGGTGTACTGAGTAAAGCTTTTTGTGGACAGCCCAGGTTCAGTGGAGGCCGTCTCACTGTATGGGAGGTCCATGGCGTTGATCAGCTGATACCCTTGGGGTGTGTGGCTGGTGACGGGAGGGGCAGATGGAAGGAACTGCGGTGGCTGTGCGTACTGGTAGTCTGCTACATTGTAGGTGTGGAGGGGACTGCTGGTTGGACTGGTCTTGCAGTAGGTGGGGTAGGTGCTGTACAGATGGTGGAGGGAGCTGTACGACGGGGCGCGGGAGTAGTAGCTGCTGCCCCCACAGTACTCACTGGGCAGGAGAGGAGGCTCAGACTTGGCCACCATGCTTGAACCTAGGCCTGTGTCACAGGGGTTCAAAGTGGGACCTTAAGTGAATGGGAGTAAATGACATAGTTTTATTTATCATTGGTTCACAAAGTACAAGGTATAACAAAGATTATTTGTTTGCCCAATAGATATGGCAAATATTAAAGCTGCAGAAAACCTAAGAAAAAGTTTATGTGACTGACTGCTCGCCACCTTTCTGTCACTTGCAAGACTTTGACTTGTATAACATGATCAGTACAAAAGGCCAAATCTTCTGGAGAAAATCACAAGTCTGTGATGAGTTCTTCACCATGTGTACTGATATTACCTACTTTAAAAAATCAGCTCAGGACAAAAATTTGCTGATGTTCAAATGTTAGAAAAAAATGGTTCCTGAAAACATGTAAAATAATATTGTTGGGTACAATTCAACCTTTACCCCTACATTTGGTGCTGTTATAAATCGAAAACATTATTCTGTTGAAAAAAGAACTTTGTCCAATTAGGAGATAAACATAATGCTTTTTCAATGTAGAGCCAGGTTGCCTGTAGATTTTATCACACTCATTTGAATTTGGAACTAAGTGCATGCCGCAAGGTTGACAATGTTAAATGTCTACCAGAAGAAATTAAATACAAAATCTCTGGTATCGGCTAAGATAAATGAGTGAAGCAGCATGTGTCTAGTAAAATGTTTTAAATACGTTGTTGACCTGAATTAAGGAAACCTTGATACTATCCTTTAAACCCAAAATGGAGCTTAATATACTGGAGCATTATTTTGTTTTTCAAATAAATATACTTCAGGCAGGCACTGAAAGGGTGTAGCACAGCTACTTCGTAAGACAAATTGAAGTGGGCACCCCTAAAGAAGATTAAGCAAGTCTGGCATGTCCTGCACCCAGGGGTCTAAATGGACATGCTCAGAGGCCGATATTAGACCCTAAGTCAGCTGCAAATGACAGTAAAAATTCCCAATTCCTGAGAATTTATTAAAATAAGAAGTACAAAAAGATCAAATTTTGAACAATATCACAATTTTTATCCAAATTGTCAAGGGCCCTTAGTTTGAAATACTAGATAAACCCCCTGATGCTGCATGTCACACTACTCACTGTGATGCAAAAGACTTGATGTCACAGGGGTCTACAGAACAGCGCCAAATATCAAGCTCTCTGTTGCCCATGTAACTTGAAATACACTCTCTTCGTAGATTTCTGCCCCAAATGTATTGCCACATATACCTTGAATATTTTGATTATCACAAATCTGTATCTTGTAACCTATAATTGCACACATCATGATTTCAAAATGCCTAACGACAATGACACTGAGAAAGAAGGACATGTCTTTGAGTCAGGTATTGATCTTGGAAGTGCATTTGGCCTGCAAAATGGGAGAAAAAATGTTTTGTTCTAAATTGGGATCTAAAAAAATAATTAAGTTCCTTAATGGAGAGATATTGCAACATGGAATTTTAACATTGCTTTCAATGCAGTAATGAAAGTCTCTTCCCCTTTACTGGGCATGTCATCAGTAAATACAAGTCACTTCACAGCAAAACATTAATTATAACCATAACAACATGATTTGGGGAAATGTTTCAATTTCGGGAAATTATACTGACATTTGCAGCAGACTTGGGGCCAAATATCGGCCTCTTCGCAGGTCTAGACAATCCATGTAAATACTAGCCTCTACAGTGTTGCAGTCGTAAAACCAGCTGCTTCAATCTGGTTATTGTGATTTGAAACCTCTGATGACCAATCAGTTTCGAGAATTTTCCAAATTCATTCATATGAACGCTGAACAAATCTGATAACTTTCAAAAGGATTTCTAAGAGTCTTCCTTAGTTAAAAAATTAAGCAGATCAAGTATGCCGAAAAGAGTCCTTATCATAATATATCGTGTGTAGGTCAGAATTAATAATTGAAAAAAGTATGTTGTATTTTCTCATATACCAAATTTAAAGCCTTAATCAACTCTCTGATGTTTCAATTCTAAGCTGTTTGGAAATTTCCCAATCTGCAGATTAGAATTTTGTCTAAGCTGTATTGTCATGCATGAATGTGATGAGGACTCACTGTAATTGACTTTCCAGGTGCCATCAGATCCATCTCTCCCCAGCTCCTCTGGAACAAGAACAGGTGATATTTCACCAGGGGACAGAATAGAATAGACAACACATAACCCAAGAGGTGAGGTGAAATGGGGTTTAATGTCACGTCCAAGATTATTGCACTTATATAGCGACATGCATAACCCAAGAACCAAATCTGACAACCTGGTTATACATTTGATATACAACACTTGTTACTGAGATTCATTGGTAGTTTCAGACAGTGTTTAATCCTTTAATGCTCATAGCCAAGCTGTATTTTGACAGATACCAACATCAAATAATATTAATGAAACATTTGAAACCACTTTCAAAGAGCACATTTACAATGTTTTAAAGTCAGCATTATTCTCAGAAATTTCTTGCTTATTGGTCCTTGTATGAAACAGATGTGAACCTACACGAGTTAACAAGATCATAAATATTGTAAGTTTCTCTAAAAGTAGTTTGCACAACTGCAGTACCAGAGTGCTGCTGCTCAATATTATATTCATGACATCCTGACAGACGTGATTGTACGTGTTTCCCTGCCTGGCAGGGGGTATTTAGGGGGTAAAACAAGGACGGGCTGAGTCAGTATACTGTGTCTGAGTGGGGTATCTATGTTAAGCTGTGACATGGTATTTCAGAGGGCAAAATAGGCATTAGTCTGGACTAGTAAAATAGACACACAGACACACTCACACATGTGCAAGCACGTTGTTATACAAGTGCATTAACCTTGAACTAGACGTTAACCCTATTTCACATCACCCCATTTCCTGAATGACTGACTTGTGTTCAGTGACTTGTTGCTGAAGTAAGGGGAGATAACTGAATATTCACATGACTCGATGGCAGTTGTAAAAGCAATATAATCTGGTACCAATTGATCAAGAAGTGACATTGTTTGCAAAAGATTGAAACCGGACACATTTCTGAACTTTGAAGTATCATATGTGAAATGGAAATAGCAGATCTACTTATAAAATGTGGATTATAAAGTCCTCAAGGCGCAATATTCAAATTCAGACCTATACCAAAGGATCTTGAATTCATACCAACAGATTACCGACAAAATGGCAACAGTTAAGGATGGTGGGACGTCTGGCTGTTTCCTGTACTCAGGTTTTCTTTCTGTTCAATTCAAAAGGAAAATTTGTCTGTGACTGGATGTGAGGAACCCATTATCACAACATTTGGACATTGGGGTTTAAACACTTCCCGCAGTGTTCTTGATACAAAGGTGTCTCCTGTTTGCAATGGCTGCAATGACAATACTCCTATGACAGTTAAATATTATGTAATTAAATGCCCAGACCATAATCAGACCAGGCTAAATCTGAAGAAGTACATTCCTTGAGAAAGAGAACACATTCTCTCCAGGTACACTGTTGGGCCCAGACATCTTCTCTGCATATTTGAAGAGATCAGTGACTGGGCACAGTATTACTTCAGCCATCTTAACGCTACAACTATCGTAAGTCTATGCTAAAGCACGATCGTAATAGCACTAAGATTGCTTTGTGTAAATGGGCCCAGAACCATTACGCTACAGACTACTATTATCCTTTTCACTACGACTACTTAATCATAATGACATTTTTTGTCACGAGTCTTTATTTCATGATACATCAAAGACAATCTTCCCAACTTTATTAAGTTCTTTTGGTTTTTTTTAATATCTTAACCAATATGCAGGGCTGAAACGTTTTTTCAATGGAGCGTGATACATAATTTGGGGGGTGTTTATGGGGGATCGGGTGGCTTGCATGGTTGCATGGTTGTGTTAAGCCTGTGAATGTTTGTGTACCTTTCTGTAGTCTAGCAATAGTCTGTTCCATGTTTCCTGTGTCCTTCAGTACAGCATGGATCCGGCCTAAACTCATGTTAGGGAACTTCTGCCTCAGCATCTTCAGATGACAGCCAATTGTATCGCTACTGCGACCTGAATCAAAGAGTGAATGTAAAGCAGCGGTAGAAACTACCATTTTTAGTCCACTAGTCGTTATAATGATATAAACATATACCAAAACCCTTATAGGGCAGTTTGGCAAGGACTACAGGACTAGTGCCAATTTCTAACACTGTAAAGTTAACAGGCTTTATAGTGTTCTACATCAAGCATGAAAGTCAAGGGGTCATTGTCCTAGCGTCCCTAGATTCAATTACCATTGGATAACATTTGCAGGTCCCCAGGACCCCCTTAACTTCAAATATGTACTGCTTTACGAAAACATTGTTTCCCTTAGCACTCACTTATATAATCATAACCACATTAATAGTCATTCAAACCAGAAAAATCAAGAAGTATTATTTCTACCTGAAGAACGTATTTGTGTAAGTGAAAGGTAAGAAGTTGAGAGCCTTAAAGTAACATATTCCCCAAGCAGGACCAAGCATGCACTGTGCCTTGAATCTGTTTTACAATGAATCTTGTAGATCTATCTTCTATTCAAATAATATATGTAATATCAGATATGGGTGGTTGGAATGAATGTGAATGCAGTCTGCACAACTTGTAATCGGGAACTCTGATGTGTTCCTTACAGCTATTTTCACAAGATTTCATTCTTTGAGGGATGTTTTGGCCTACCATTCAACAAGTTTTCTGGAACTGGAATGAACAGCCCTGCTGCCTCGTCTTGTTCCTGGCGCCTTCGTAATGCTATTTGCTCCCGAGAAACCTTTCGTCTCTGTGCAATCAGTATACAGTTTGCACACATGCAGTTAGTGAACTGACAAAATCGTTTGTGACCCCGCAAATGACTGATGATGCCGTGGTTACGACAGCGAGCACACTCGGGTCTTCTAACTTTCTTTTCGAGTTTTTCAACTTGTTCCGAAGACATTTTAACACTGAAACACACACAGAAACGTTGGAACAAATGGCAAAAGAACATGCATACCACGAAATGAGTTAAACTGCAATGACAGTCTTGGGTATTCATGTGTGGAATAACTGAAAGCGTGAAATGTTTTTTATACCGTTAGAACTGGGCCTGGCCTACATAAATCAATATTTTATTGCAATATTTGCATAGATCTACATTCACCAGAGTTCACTCGACAAGAATCTATTATTGTCCGACGAGGAGTTTTCATTAATAGTACATAATATCTAACACACGTCTACACATTAACAGAAACTGATTACATAGTTGTCATTGTTCATAACCTACCCAGCTGCTACCTGACACACACTTTCTTCCTCGCGCAAGTTCTTTTGGCGGGATGCTCAATATGGCGGGCCATTCCATTGTATTTGAGCTTGAATTGTTATCCGATAAATGTCGGTTTAATTATGTGACGATTCAATACCATTTTGCGAAACATTACATGTAATAATTAATCATATACTATATTTAAATATTGTCTCACAGTATGTCAAGACTAATCGACACAGTGAAACTATTTCGAAACCCTACGACCCATGGAACCCAAAAATGGTACATTCCAAAGATGTGACGGCCATCAATATGGAAGGAAGCCAAGCTGGTTAGATACGTTTTGAAACAACTCGTTATAAGATCAATGGTATATGACAGGCACGAGTGCAGTAATCTGTTTCCTACACACCCTAAAACCCCCCTTTTTTTAGCGTCGAATCAATGCATTTTGTCTGTTCTCATGATGGAAGCAGCGCATTAATACATAACACCACTGTCATAAGTGACGTCATCCTATGTACTGCTTACTACTCATAAATAATGTGACCCTACACGAAAAGGTTTCCGCCACATCTGTGGATTATCAGGGCAGTGATGATGATAGTGCAAACTAGACAAAAACAAAGAACACGCTGGTTGCGGAGTTAAAATTTCACAGCTCAAAGATATTATCAAATATGTACAACAATGTTTACTTCCGTATGACATCACTAACGGTGACCGACTTATACAAAATGGCGTGTTCACTGACAACAGTACGCGGGATTTCCAGATGAGGATTTTCGTTGATTGAGGGATCGTATATACATAAATGTGTCATGTAAGTAATCAGAAGCATTCTGACAATCTGCGCAGTGTTATTTGTGTACAATGTTTTCCAATGTAAGAAAGAGAATTTGTCAGAAACGCAGATAACTACCGTCGTCGTTGTGCGTGATTTTTGGTCAGTATAGACGAAAGTACCTCAGTGTAAAATATGAAATTTGCTTTGTTTACATTTCAACAAGTACAGTTTTCCGAGCACAGCGTTCGTTTTCACACCAAATTTATTTCGCATGATTTCCGATATTCAGATTTCTAAACACAGTATTGTAAAATTGTGATTTGGCGGATTTACGATGTACCTGATTTTCAGAAGTCACTTTCAGTACTTTTGCTTTACCTAAAATGGCAGTAAATGATAAACAGCTAGAAGGGAGAATTTAAAACTGTGAAGTGTATTAGTTTGCCTGATGTATTTCAAATTTTATTCGACTTCGAAGTGAGGGTTGAAGAGGAGGGACATGCGTGTCGCTGTGGCATCCAGGGGGTTTACACTCGAAAAAACGATAACGTTGACATAACAGATAATGTAACCGACGAGGACGACTTTGTTTATAATTATCATAATCACACGGTCCTGTGGTTCGACTGAAGAACGAGCAACTTATAGAAAGTAGTCCGTCATCATCTGACCTCAGGTCATCACCATGGAGTAGCCAACCACGGGCCTGGATTTCGATCTCACACATATGTTTGATTCCAGTTATCTCAAATGGGTTTCTCACCCACGGGTGTGTAAGAAATGTATGTTCGATGCACAAAAATGATTTTTATTGTGTCACTTTTAGCGGCTATTTATATATGGTTCTGAAGAGAATCTATCCGTCTGTTGAAATGAGATGGTAATGTGTGTTAGTAATGTAATTGAATTTGTGCAGAAAAAAATACTTCTTGGTTTGGGTACAAAATTACCGGACATCAGAAGTTTTTAATACGAAATTACATAACAATATTATTTTGTATGAATACTCCAATGAATATTTCGGATGGCTAATGCCATTGACTCTTGCAGCTATATGGCCACGATGACTGTACTCGAGCCATCCTTTAGTATGCGAAATGCTGGACTTTCTCATCAATAACATCTTGGCCTTTGTGAATTTTAGGCATTTGGGCAATAAGTGGATATCCCCATGCACACCAATGTGTGCTCCCTTAATTCTTACTGATCTGTTTCTTTATGCATATATGAATCGAAATTTCTGCTCGGATAGGCAAAATCTAAACAAAGGACTTTGGCCAACAAAATGTAACTTATGCTTCAGTTAATCGATGATCTGATATCGTTTATAATAATGGTCAAATGGCCAATTCGGGTCCACTGATTTACCCATGCACCTGAACGAGAAGCACATGAGAAAAGTGAAGTAAATCCATGTTTCATGTTTAAATCTGTGCTTAAAAATGAAAAAACTATCTACACTACTGTATGACAAGAGGGGCGACTTTACCTCTCCAACAATCAACCTTACCTTTTTGTCGAGCAATATTCCAGCAGTTCTATCATTTTGAGGTACTATCGAGCATTCTCATACTGCGTATTTAAGATTCAAAGAGCGCAATACGACTCTTCTCCAAAACCTATTTCATCAGGGTTACAACATTTAAGGCCTCGGTAAAGCTTTCAAACATTTTATGGAAAACAGGTGGAGAACATTTCTAAATTTGATGCACCAGTGACCAAACTGACGCTCGATGCAGTTCCCTATTTTGACTTGTACCATACGTGCCCGTGTGGGGTTTTTTCATGTGAACATTTGACTTGCCTTTTCATGTGTTTGTGACGGGTGCCACCGGTGGATAAGGATATACGCTCAACCTTTCGCGAACATCTGGTATACCATCTTTATTTGATGGTGATACATAAACACAAGTTTATGATATAACCTCTTGCGCAAAAGAAACACATGTTTGATGGTGGCAAAACTGAGACTAACAATAATTGTTTTTTCGATAACGATGTATTTTATACGGGTATCATAGTTGTGTTTTGATTCTGTTTTGTGCAGTGTTTCGGCGACTGGTTTCACCCCAGTAACGTTTTGATAACGATTTCATTTTTGTTGTTGTTTTTTTTGTTTTGCAAACCCAATTTCAAGTGTAAACTTGTTTTTGCCTGGCAATTTTTTTACGAAATCTTACAATGGACTTGGTCATGTAACGAGAAGTTGAGTTATTTTGTTAGTGATTTCTTTACATCCGTGTAATAAGAATCTATAATTAGAAACTAATTGTCTCATAGCGAAGAAAGTGTTGATCATATTTGAGATTCATTTTTACCATCCTGTGGCTAACTATTCCATTTTGCCGGTAATTAAAGTTACCGATCCCATTTCGTTTTTGATTGAGCTAACCATATAACATTGACAACAGGAAGTTGTCGCAAGGTGGCGCTACGATGGGTTGCTATAGGTGACGTCAAGCCAGTTCCTGTGCCAGTTCAGGTCGTTTGACAGAACGTCAGAAGTAAATCTACACGTTTTAAGATGTTAATGTACTTTGGAATATGCCGCACTGTCTTGGAGTTTATCTTTTACAATTAGAGGTAATGTAACTTAGCAAGTAGTGTGCGATAATTATCAAGACGTCGTCTGTAATACAGTTGACATTTTAAAAGCCGGTGTCACTCCAGGCTTCAGTGCTTCGCAAGAATGTTTTGTCGGCAGCACTTCACATGACTTATTTACTTGATTATTTCTCATGTGTCATTGTTACAATTCAACAGTTACCGAACCTGCCGAACATCACTGGAAATACAACACTCGCGCCGTTTCGCTTTGCTGAAACAATGGCATAGCTACTCTCACATGGCCTGCAGGCAATGTTTTTATCTTGCAAAGAATTGGTGGTCACTGGTGTTTTTAGATGATTATAAATTCTGGAATGAATTTGCATTAATTATTTCGATTTAACACGAACACAGCCTAGGATAAACATGAACTAGTTGGTAATATTTGTAATAGCTGTTCCTGATAGATGATATACATATATCATCTGTGTTTTGATAGTATCTTTTTTTTGTAAACAGTTTTAGAGACACCTAGCTCAAAGCAGTCTTCAGAATACTACAATTACCATAATTATTGTTTCATCTGAACTCTGGTAAGTTTCAGGGAAACGAATTGTCCCAAGTTATCATGGGGGAGTTTCTATTTCTTATTTGCCTATACTTTATCATTAATCGAGCGTGTGCCTTTGATATCGTTGGATCATATTCATGTAAATACTCAGATGATGGCTTGTTTTTAAGAGAGAGTTGTCCTTTATAAGTGAATGAAATGTTTTACAGTTGTTCATGTGATTAGAGAGAAAACTATGGCTGTTTCTTAAGCATCTGAAAACCCATAACATGGGTATATATTATGTTAAAATAAAGTGATGACTTTTCTTTTCCCTGCAAAATATAATCAACATAAACATACATGTTCATAACACCATCTTATGGTAGAATGAGAAAGAAACTGCCATTTGGCGAATTATTTGGTACTCTTTCTTTGTTAACACCCTGTTGTTGAAAGCTATTAATATTGTGCCAAATAGTTCATTGTATTCCTGTTACAGCCGCCTTTGATTTAAACATATTTATTCACAAGGAGTGAACGGGATTAGGGTTTCACAATTTCAAATTCAATATATGTGCATACAACACTATAGAATAGACATTTGAGAGAGTTCTTTACACAAATCTTTTAGTTGTACATATATAATGTTGTACTGCCTTAAATATAGCTTCATTTTCTGTAACAACGTGATCTGCATTGCCGTATAACAGTAAGTGTACACCAACATGAATGTTATGAACAATATTTTTAAGGCTGTTAAAGATACTTTCACGCTGATGACTAGACAAAGGACATTCCATGAGATAATTATATGCATTTTCACATGTATTTGAACATGTACAGTTCGGGTGATCTTTTATACCAATTCTATATAAATCATAATTCAGTTGACTGCACATGTATCTCAGTTTTGTGTGTAAGATATATTTTCTTTTTCCATATGCGAAGTACGCAGGTGACGTGGGCTGGTGCTTTTGTAAAGAATAATAAAAACAAGAAATCGTAGAATTTCGATCTGATAACGGAATAGAGTTCCACAATCATATAGACCATGGGTAAAAGGATTCACACGAATGTCTTTGTCTTGTGAGAGGAACACTGATGTTTTCAGAGTTTCTGAGACTGTATGAGTTTTTTGCAGCAACGGTTTTGGGTAGAATATTTGTTAGATACGAAGGGCCATATTATGATTAATTTTTAGAAAAGACAACGTTAATGTTTCTTTCTACGCTCAACTAAGGGTTCCCAACCGGTTTCATAATATAATGAATGCCAGGGGCATATTTAGGTAGACCAGTTACAATGCGTGCAGCTTCTAATTGTAATTGTTCTAATTTCTCACTTTGTCCTTCGGTGCAACCATCCCATACCTCACATGCCCCCTATGTCACTATGCAATACATATCTTAATCATGATGATAGTAGGGACACAATGAGCAATCTTGAGATTTAAGTGACCAGAGTAAAATTCTAGTTAGCTCAGCTAATAATAACACTAAGCTCTTCTGAAAATGATGCCGATACCAACTTCTTGTTCAAGTTTATGGCGCAGACTGAATATGATAACATAAAATTACACCTGACTTAGTGTCATGATCAGTCATCAAGGGAACTAAAGATCCAATTAATTAATTTATTTAATTTAGATAATTGGTGAGAACTCTTGTACATATAGTCAGAAAATAGTACTTTACAATTTATTTATTTTATGACTCCCTTAATAATTGTATCACTCATAGCTAGGACCGCACATTGTGATACTGGTATCATTACTTGAGTTGACATTATGGCAATCATCTTGTAACTGTAGCACTGTAGAACAAAACTTAATTGCAGTATCTGTCAAAGTGAAGATTCTCGTCAACCGATTTCTATGACAAGACAAAAACTGTTTGCTTTGAGAAATATATATCAATTTCTGCGGGAGGAATCATCTTCCTGTTGATATGTAAATTCTTATAAGTGGATACAAACATATCTTTTCAGAGGATATTTATAATTCCTTCGAATACCTTACCTCTATCATGTGTCTATTACATCATGGCCTTTATTTCCATTTTGGCTAAACTCACTCTACAGAAATCTTTGGACTTTTCAAAGGATGTCTTCTTTACTGCCAGTTATCTAATGAGCAATTGCGCAGGAATTAGTATCAAAACCGATCTACTGCACAAGCACAAGACAGGATTACATCACTTCTTTTCTACGTGAGCTTGGGTCAAAAAATATTTTTTTTACCAGAATTCCAAGTCACAATTTTTTTAAATTTTTTTTTTATTGATAATTATCAAATGGTTTTTCACAATTAAATTAACAATATACCACTATATGCTACTATAAGTTGTCATCATCTTGCAAGATCTTTCAAGTTAAGTAGACTTCATGTTTTTGCATTACTCTGCACAAATTGTGGAACTCTCTAAATTCCTATGGATCCCTATACCATGTGTTTTAAGTGCCAGGATATGATGTGCACAATGGATTACAGATGTGATCTGTGCTTTTCTCTTACCGAGTAGGAATTCAGAGGATTACTAGTAGTATGGAATTCTACTGCTAAAAAACATATTCTGCTTATACTTATAACTTCGGAACTAAATAGAACAGATAATCTCATTTAAAAAGTCCATGGAGGACGAGATCTAATTTGAACATCTTTGCCCATTCCTTGCCTCCTTGGTCTTGCCAGGACAGGGTAATCCAAAGGATAGGAGACAAATTACATCATCATTCTGGTAGCGCCGGCATGACCCAACCGAGCATGGTATCCAAGGCTCTTTCCACTACTAATGGATGAGCCTTTAAAGCTCACAGAGCTTCTGCACCAGCCAAGATCCCTTCTATTTTACAACAACCTCCAGTACCTCCACCAACAATCCTGGAAGTTACCTCGTCCAACATGCAGGCGGCCTCTGCAGCACGATCTTGGAGACGTTCCAGGTTGCTCCAGATTCCTTGATGGCCACTTGATTCACAGGAAATGATTGTTCTTATCATGTAAGCCTATGTGTGCCAAAAATATCACCAAGGCAACAGTAGTAGGATGACTCAAGTCCACTATTAAGGATAGTTATTAGCCATGCCTACAATTGGTAGTTGCTGAACTCACGAGATTCAGTCTTACTGCAGTTATAGAAACTAACAGTTTTAGCCCACTAGTCCTTGTAATGATAACATATAGCAAAACTCCTAAAAAGGACAAACTTCTACTACTGTAGTCTTTAGGATACGTTTAACTACTGGGCAATTTGGTGAGGACTAAAGGACTAGTGCCAACTTCTAACGCTGTCCTTAGCCACGAGCCTAGCCGCATGGAACACTGTTCATATGGAACAAGTCATATCTAATTGTCATTGGGAGTTCTCAAAAACATGTTCACAAATTTCTACTTGCACGATGTGCAGATCTTGCAGGATTGCCCAATCTGGGACCACTTGTGGCATCCGAGTCTATCAATTTTCTGTAAGCTCTTTCCTCCCAATTCTCAGGGGAAAAAGGTGGCGAATGAAGATTCCAGCTAACGATCAGCCATTGAGATATTTGAAATTTCTTGGATCTTGTTCAACTATGGGTGACATGGTTAAGTTTAACAAACTCTGTGGAGTCACAACATAAGATCTGAAGGTGATCTTCGGCTATACTTGTCTGGACAGTTTCCTAGGAGTTGTCAGAATGTATTGTGTACAAGTGACGTATATGTACTATCATGATGTCAACCGGAAGTGACATCATAACATAAAGTTGCGTCATCACGACCAGATATAAGATAATGATTATATCATCATTTAACTGGAAGTGACGTTATAATGACCTTAAGTGCATCAACGAGGCGGGAACTGGCATCATAAAGTTGGATGTGATGTCAAAGATGGGACCGAAAGTGAAGTCGGAATAATGCAGATATATTGGTATTGTGCATATAACTTTTAATGTCTTCATGTTAACTATTTACTTCTGTCAGTTATGTGGGAATATAGGATATCTATAAAGTACAATGAAGAAAGAAGCATGGTTTATTTCACGATAAAACATTGTTCTATCATGACATCTTTTCTGTAGATTCGAATATGCGCACGCATAACTTGACGACTTCTGATGTTGCATGACATTATTTTTGAGAGGTCTGTGTCCAGTAAGTTGTTCCCCATAGTTGTACCTTGGCTACCTAGATAAACGGAGTGGCCAAACAATCGCATCCAAAAGTGGGAGAGAAATGGAAGACAAGGTACAGATATTCAACGGAATGATTGTGAGAATATGCAGAAAAATAACCCACCTGTTCCTAAAATGGACTTGTCTGACATTGTCAAGGTCGGATTTTATTGAGGGAGTCATCATTATTTAAATATGGGTAACTATTTTTAAAGCTTGTACATTTTAGTAACAACCCTAAAAAATGTATATAATATTGATATCTCATATAAGAAATGATCGACTCATGGTAATTGTGCACGTCCCTCATGGTTTATTCTCCCTGCAGTGT